AACAGAACAGCTACTTTTAGATATTAAGATCTTGGAATTTCTTCACCAAATTCTTCATTCCATTACATTTTAATATATGCCTGATGTCTCTATGAAGCAACATCTAAAATGATTTTCTTATAACACGGTATTTTAACCTTCGGCTCAACTAAAATCTACGGATGCACGCAAACCGTCACGTCTACTTACTAGGTGCTGGAGCCCCACGTTTACTCAGAATAAGAAAATAACATCTAGAATATTGCTATGACTTACAGCTGTAACATTTGCAGGTCAGTTCGCAGACTCAGGAAAATTACTTACAGAAAGAGATTCAGGATCACCACCACTTGTACCAGCAACAAATGGGTCGATGAGGTAATCAACAACCTTCCAATCATAAATGCCACAAAGTCAATACAAGAAACTGACAATCTTGAAGCTACCGTTTTGTAATCTCTGAGAGTCATGTTAAAATAGGAATCAAAGATAAAATATGAATAAATTCTACCTCTCTACCAAAATGACGCTCGAAAAACTCGCCTACACTGCATGCATGAACAGAAGGAGAAAATAGAATGCTAAGATCAATTGTTCACGGATAAAAAACGGAGAAAGGCCAGGAAAAATCCAAAGATGCTGATAAAAAAAAAGAAAAAGAAAAGGCAAGCCTAAGCCACCTTTCTTGCCCATCACCAGACGTTAGTGAATTAGTTCTTTTCTTCCACAGAAGGGGCTCCATTATAATCTTAAACTGCAGTCATCAGAAATAATTCATTAAGAGATTACAGAAAATGTGTATCGAGCATCACATCTTCAAGCAAATTAAGGTTAGAAATGAGAGCCAGTATACTTTTTTTTTAAGACGATAATTGGGCCAATATTGGTAATCAACAGCTGAAGCATCTACATAACTAACTTAACTGTCCACAAACCCACAAGTAACTAGAAAGTACGCATTTCATAGCCTAAGCAGAAATTATAAAATTGATAACTGTACTTTCTTGAAAATCCACATCACCATTCACTTAGATGACTTTTCAGATATATCATACATAGAGAGAAGTGCAGAGTTTCTGCGTGACAGCAAGATAATCAGTCTTAGAGAAGAACAGAAGTCCAATTGATATATGCGCCCAACACAAAAAGGAGCGCATCTGTTTACCTTATTAATGAACAAAAAAGGCAAGGAGCTCATTTGTTGAAGCATTACATTTACTAAAAGTGGCAAAAGCCTTATTATAGGAGACAAACCTTTGACTGAGTAGAAAGTATGTTGCTTTTGATCAGCGCAATAGGATTAGTTGGAATCTGATGCAAAAAAGTGAAGTGCAGGTCATGCTCATGATACATGTTTGACATGCACAATTGCAACGAAAAAAGGAACTGAAACGGACATAGTCCCTTGCCTTGGTATATAGGTACTAATATTGAAAAAAATCCAGTCCAACGACAAGGACTCACCAGCACAGGCATTCCATTTCTGACTATGTATCTTTTGTTCTGTGAAAGTGGCTGTACCGGTATTTGATCGATTAGTTAAATAATCCAGGAAAAAGAAATATTACAACCAAATAATAAACAGAAGGCCATAGAGCAATATCAGACGAGAAGCTGCAACCAGCTACCCTACATTGGCAGTTTAGCAACCCAAAGGCACAAAATTAAATAATGTATAGCTTGATGGATGAAACAAACTCTTACATATTGCTGCTTTTCTCGAATTCCAAGTTCATCAAGCAGATTTCTGACCTCCACTTCACTCTCAGTCTGCAAAAAACAAAAACTGATAGTTTTAACCAATGAGAGCATCAGGGCTTTGTTACCATAGGCTTATGATGCATTACTCAAAAGATGCATGTTCATTGAGTTATTCAGTAAGTTGAATGGTGAGGCCACAAGTTTTTGTGCTAGTGATATTACCATGGTATTTGCACCTTCATCCCAAATTAGACCGCCTTGTAACACACTCCTCAGCTTCCCCCCAATTTTCCCTTCAGCTTCGTATACAGTAACATTCACACCATTTGACTTCAACTTGTATGCTGCAGCAAGTCCGCTGAGACAGCATCGGAGTGGAGTATTGAAATGGTAAAAAATAGTACGGGCATGTCAAGATACACCATCTATCACATTGCAAATGTTGAAAACAACAACATCCACCACCCCTCCCCACCCCCCCCCCCCCCCCAAAAAAAAAAAAAATTCAATTCCATCTCCACAATGAGAAAGTAGCCGAGTAAAACTGGCAATTGAGTGCTGAGTAGTCCCCACTTGCAATCCTACCGCGAGGTCTCATGTTTCACAACAATTAAGCTAAAATGGTATTGACACATTCTTACTATTCATTTCTGAATAAGAATCTATAGAATGAGAACAAAAGAGAATTTCGGAAGCAACGAACAACAATTGACAGACTCCTCGGAAGATTAAGAACTGCAAAAAGTGGAGATGAATCGCGCACCTAACGCCAGCACCGACGACTGCAACTCTCTTCGCAGGACCTACAAACAACAAAACTACTCGGTCAAAGAAGTTGACCCTGAGAAAATCAGGACAGACGCACGCCTCGAACACTAATGCACTTCGTGCAACCCCTCAAATTCTTCCGCACTTCGGCGCGAGATGCCGAAAAATGAAATGGGTCATCTACACTACAGCTCGCAATCGATCAGGTTGAATTTTTTTCCCATTCTTCAGTCAATTCCCTGTCAAATTGCTGACACCGCATCGAGCTTATTGCTTGTGATGAAGAAAGAGCGTGGAGAACTTTACTTGAAATGTCTCCTCCTGCAGCCGAACTCATCTTTGCATTTCTTGGCTCTCTGCCGCTCCACACTGCTCTGGCTTTCCGATGGAGATGGGGAGACAGATGACGATGATGATCGTGCAGGCTAGAGTTCATGGGCAGGACCAGGACGAAGCGCGAGTCTTCTGGGGATGATAGATTCGGCCCATGAATAGTCCTAGTCTTCCACGAACAGATCGTCATCGATCCTATCATGGGCCAAATCTTCGAGCCTATCGAGTTCTCAACTCTTTGTTCATTACAGCCTTTCTTGAATCTCTTGATGCAGTGAATTTCGCTGATCTTGTGGAATTCATTGTTTGACTTTTGCTTGGAATTTGATAGCAAGAATTGGCATATAAAGTCGTGTGTATCATCTTTTCATAATTCTTGGGAATAAAAATCATATCACCTATCCCCATATTTTTTGGGAAAAGCAACGCTAGAAATCAAGAACTCTCGCCGTTGACAAGGTCGTGCAAACAAGCCCTTTTGATAAAGATTTTTCCTTTGACGTTTTTTTTCCTTATAAACATTTTGGAAATTCTTATGATCTTTGGATTCGGGTCTTGTCGAAAGTACTTAGATTAAAAAATTTTGAATGCACTAAACTGATATGGAATAAAATCATTTTAGGATAAGATGAACGTTGAAAAGACCAATATGGAATAAAATCCTTTTAGGATAAGATGATGAATCGTAAACAAAAACACCTTACGAGTGCACTTCTCCAGAGTTCTAAATCTTACTCCTGAAATGCTTCCAATAAGACTTGAACACAAGTCAAAATGTACGAAAATTGGTATCTACACATGTGTTTGTTTCGGAGAAAATTTCATAATTAAGGCTCCGTTCGTTTGGCGAAAAATATTCTCCTTTTGAAAAATATTTTCCCGGAAGTCATTTTCCTGGAAAATATTTTCCCGGAACATAATTTTTCGGTGTTCGGCGATCAATATGAAAAAGTTTCGGAAAATATTTTTCACGGCGGCGGCGGTGGCCGTGCCGCCGCGCGACCGCGGCCAGCGGCGGCGGGCGGCGGCGCGGCGACAGCGGCCGCAGCGCCCCGGCAGCGGCGACGGCGGCGACGGGCGCGGCGCAGCGGGCGGCAACGGCAGCGACAGCGGCACGAGCGGCCGCTGGCCAGCACCGACGCGCCCGGTGACCGGCGGGCGGGCGGCCAACGTGGTGACCGCGATCAACTTCCTCTCCCACGGAAAATATTTTGCCTCCCATGGGCAATTTTGCCTTCAATTTGGGGAAAATGATTTCCTCTTTGTGAAAAGAGGAAATCATTTTCCTCAAAACAATGAAGGATTTGGGGGTGGGGAAGGAAAATGTTTTCTTACGGAAAACATTTTCCGCCCCCGAACACCGGAAAACCCGGAAAATATTTTCCGGAAAAATATTTTTCCGCAAACGAACACAGCCTAAGAGGAAAACGCTTTTCGAAAAATCATTTTCTTGAGATATGTTTTCCTCGTTTAAGGTCAGTGAATTTATTTTCCTAATTTTAAGCATGCATTCTTTTATTATCGTAAATGATTTCTGTTGACCGATCATTTTCAGCAAATTAAACACCTGAAAGTTTAGACTACTAATTCTTGAAAAATGTTTTCACTCTAACAACATACCCTAAATCACTTTTTCAAGAAAAAAACAAATAAATGGAAGTACTAGAAAAGGAGGCCTTCTTAAGCCAAAAATTAGAAGAAAGTACAAAAAGAAAAAAAAACAATTTGGCTTAACTATTTCCCACACACACGAAACACAACAACATTTGTTTCAATTCTGTCTTCTTCTGCTTATATATATATATATATATATATATATATATATATATATATATATATATATATCTCGGAATCATGCCGAAGCTCCGAATCCGCCACAGCTGCTGATATTATCCCCAACCCGTAAGGACCTCTCCTTCCCCTCTTCACTTCGACCTCGGACAAGCCGAAGCCGAAGACGGAGACGGAGACGGAGACGGAGAACGCTTCATCCTCAGTGTCTCTTTTTTCTCCGTGTTTTGTTCTTCTCTCTCTCCAATGCGCATTGTCTGAAGCAAGCGACCGCGGGACTTCAAGGGCCGCCGTTAGAAGATGAGAGCTCTCTGCGCAGTCCGCTTCTCTCAGCTCTCGCTCCTTTCGAGACCGCTGTTCCCCTCCAGGTACAGCAACCCTCTTGAAATCTCTTCTTTCCCCCGTGAAAAGTTCGGATTCTTCGGGCGCGTGCTGTTGAATTTTTCCGTCACCCCCCCTCGGGTATTAGCTTGCATCTACCCGTTGGATCGAGAGCGACTTGAAAAAAAAAAAGAAACCCACGTCGAGTTCTGCGGAAAAAAAATGTTTTTGTCTAACGTAAAGAACCAATCGCGTGATGGGTGTTTGTGAGAATCTGAAATGGAGAAGCTATAATGCTCAGGCTCAGTCAAATACAGTGATGAGAGGCTATCTTTTTCCTTTTCCCTGTTTCGCGAGTTGAATGTGTTTATTGTGTCAATGACATTTCAGGAGAAACCGTCTAGTAACATGGTAATCTGAAGAAAGATTTACACAGAATTACACTGGGTTTAAAAGAAGAATTCAAGTAGATGAATGACTTCGAAAATTGACGAGTTGATTGTGCGAGAATGGTGGCGATGATTACCTGCCGAGCGAAATTGTGTGTTTTGATGTTCTCCGGAGTTAAGGGGACTGGATATTGCTTTCATCAACTTCTGACAACCTTTTGCTCATTGTGAACTCCGATAGCTGAAAACTGTCACTCAGTTTAAGTTTCTTTCGAAGTAGCAAAAGCAAATCAGTTTCTTCCGTGGACATGAATCCATAACAAGAACTTCCGTGAGATTATGAAATCTAGATAAGTTTCAGCAATGATAGATATCTACCAGTCTATTTCCCTCCCCCCACTTGATTGTGGAGTCTTGTCAATTGAATTTCTGTTCGCTCTTGTGACATCATGCTATGGAAACGATGCGAAGAGTTTGTTTCAAAAATTCTGAGGGTTGTGCTATCAAGCTGTACCTTGCCATCTGCCTTTCAATTAAAGAAAATATCATAGTCGAGGTGTCAGAAATCAGTTGTATCAGCACAATGATATCCTCTATTAAATATGTCTTGAATTTTATGTACTCGGTCCGGTTCATTACCCGATCCGATATATTTTTTGTGCGACCCAAAAGTGGAGAAAAAATTGAGATTTAGTTCGTGACGCGGAGGGTTGGGTCGATAGGCCCAACCCGAAGCAAGCAAATAAATTTCTATGGCGGACCGCCCGAGCTGGAGCAAGCAAACAAATGTCTCAAGGGGTTCGGGGGCTATGCCCCCGAGGAAAATTTTTTTGGGAGCCCTATTTATACCGCGGTTAGGTTTTCTCATTGATGTAAAGAGAATTTTGTTTTCAGAGAGATTTGTGAGCCGTGAGGTTTTGTTAAGTCGTTGTTTCGACTTCTGAAAACTGTACTCTCTTTGATTATGGTGGAATCTTGTCTTGCCTCGCCCGTGGACGTAGATCACCTTGTGATCGAACCACGTAAATCCTTGTGTTCTGTATTTGTTTTTTCTGCGTTTGTCTTCAACATCCTCGTTCTCTATCTATTGCCCCTCATTTGTTATAGATGAAGTGTTGAATATTGATGTTGGTCCTTTTATCAGGTTGCAGCTTTCTTTTCCAGTAAAACTCTTTTCCTGCCAAGCTAAGTATGGTAAGTGATCGTTAATTCGTTACCGTGTCCCAAAGTGTAACTTATATCCAATTTCTCAATTGGGGATGGCAGAATCTTGCAGATATATCATCGCGATCCATACTATATATGAACTAACTTTTGAGCTTTCAACATCGCAGCTGCTGATTCTGGGTTAGATGGTTCTGTCAGTTTGAGAGTGGTGTCTCCAACTCTATTGGCAGCAGAAAAAGAAGAAGCCAAGGCCGTCTTAACCTTGTTCTTGAAAAAGCAAGGTTTAAGCAACGCGGTAGCTGTGAGAACTATCAACAAGTCCGATCTTTTCATCGAGCATCTTGTATCAAGGCTTCATTCTGTTCACAAGTCTCGGTATCTAGTAGGTTCGACTGCAACTTGTTAATACTTCCATGATTTGAATTAAGATGGAATGACTTTATGTTAATCTAATTGTAACTTGACATAGCAGGCCGGGAGCTCACAACTCTTGAAATAAGGGATGCGTTAATTCCTTACCTCGAGTCCCTTCTCGAGGAGCATGGAAACATTCTGGTAGATGTGGTGGAGAATTTTCCTGATCCACCTCTTAAAGAGAAGGTAACTGTGCCTAGTCCTCCACCTCTTCCATCTCCTTCGAGCTTGGACAATAAAAAGCTAAAAGCTGTCTCCAGAGTGAGTGAGGCTGATCCTACTGGGAGGCTCCCTCCTCATATTGTCTACCTATTAGAACTCGGTATGACTCTTGAGCAGATCAAGGGAATTACGCGCAGATTCCCTGCTTTTGCTTACTACAGCTTGGAGGGGAAAATCAAGCCGGTGGTTGAGTTCCTTCTTGATCTTGGGGTACCAAAGAACGAAATTCCAATTATCCTCAATAAAAGGCCCCAGTTGTGTGGAATTAGTCTCTCGGAGAATCTAATACCCACAATGACATTCCTGGAGAAATTGGGCGTGGATAAGAAACGATGGGCTAAAGTTATATACCGCTTTCCTGCATTCCTCACTTACAGCAGGCAGAAGGTTAAGGCAACGGTTGATTTCCTTTACGAGATGGGTCTCTCAGAGGAGAGCATAGGGAAGATTCTAACTCACTGCCCAAATATTATAAGTTACAGTGTGGAGGACAACCTACGACCGACAGCTGAATACTTTCTCTCGATGGGGGTTGATGTGGCTGTTCTTTTTCACCGTTCACCTCAGACTTTTGGCCTCAGTATCGAGGCTCACTTGAAACCCATTACGGAATTTTTCTTGGAGAGAGGATACAGTAAGGAAGATGTTAAGACTATGATATCCAGGTACGGAGCTTTGTACACTTTCAGCTTGGCAGAGAACTTGACACCAAAATGGGACTTCTTCTTGACCATGGACTATCCACAAGCAGAGCTGATCAAGTTCCCTCAGTATTTCGGATATAGTTTGGAAGAGAGGATTAAACCGAGGTATGCTCGTATGGAGGAGTGCGGAGTTCAGTTGCTGCTGAACCAGGTGTTGTCATTGTCTGCTCAAGATTTCGAAAAGGCTTTGACAAAGAAAATGAGAAAAGTGCTTCCTGACGAGGCTGAAGCCTGAGTTTGTTGCATGTAGCAGTAATGAGTATGATGAACTGAGCGTGGCTTGAATGTTGAGATATTTATATAGGTTGTGGAGTTGCTCAGGACTCCTATTTTCCGGCAAGCAAATCAGCTGGTGAAACAACTAGCAGGAATTGTTCGTGCAGGTCATTCAATCTTCGATAATAATAGATGCATGCAAGAATCAGGCGCTACTGTGGTGTGTTTATGTATCTTAACTGAGCTTAAAGTTTGACTGTGTGGGAAGGTCTTTCTCACCCAAGTTGAGGCTGCATTCAGATTTGCATAGAAGTGGGACATCGACGATGAATAATCACAGATCTCTCGTGTTCAAGGATTGACTGTGGTTGATTTAGGTTCAGATTTTGCCAATTGCTCCTATTCAACACGTCCAATATCCTCATTCATTGAAACGCTGTGAATATGAACTGTTTCTTCTTTGTCGTAGTATATCAAACAATGTTCTGAACGAGTGATCTTCTTCAATGTCGAATAATGATGCTTTCATCTGCAGTCTCCAATGCTGGAGGATTCTCCTCTCTTTGCCTTTTGCAGGATTATTACCAAGCCATCATCCATTCAACCAGACGGCTCCAAAGATTTACCTTAAATGAATTGGGTCAGGACGAAAGTAAGGTTTCACCATCCGATTTTGTGACTCGGATTCTCAGGAGATGTGTTTGAACTCTATGTATGGTTTTGCTTCATTTTTGTGTATGTTTGGCTCCCAGCACGCTAGAGTTGATACTTGCAGAGTTCAGCTATCCAAGGGTGTCTGTTCTATTACAAGGGCAATTCTGAGGTTAGGTCGAATTCGCTTATTTTATCTGAAATTGAGCTTTATACACTAAACAGGATCGAGTAAGTTCCAGTTCTGAGGTTAGCTCCATGTTGAGGTTAGCTCCAATTCTGAGGTTAGCTCCATTTTGCTCTGTTTTGTGTCTAGTCTTGTTTATTCGCTTTTCTTGCTTCAAGAGCGATCAAAATTGTTCGATGTAAGTTCGTGTTGCTTTTAGCAAAACTGTTGTTATAAGGGCAACGAGTATATTCGAACTTATAAAGTTTTCATAATTGATTGCTTAATAAGTGTCGGGAGCACTCACGTTTGCCCCGTAAAGTATTTCGATGCTACCGAGTATGCAAAAGTCTCTCATGTAGATGGCCGTGGTATTGTCATGTCTAGTTTCACTCCGTCCTGAACGTGCTCAGAGTGCCAAAAGTAATGACTTCAAAAGAAACTCTTGCCTTACACGCAGATTTATCGACTAAAATAATCAGGCAGTTGATCAGATAAGACTTACATGCGTGGTCCACATGATCGATGATAATGATGAATCATATTCATGTGGATCTGATTGGGTCCAAGCCAAGTAAATGTATGCACGTGGCGGATGAAGTTATTTAAAAAGATAATCTTCCCAAAAAGAAAAGATGCCCTTCCAAAGACTGTCCACCCCTCACTTCAAATTCCCCCAACTAATTGCAATTTAAGTCTTCCAGACTAGTTGCGTTTTAAGGGCATTCGTGAACGTACCGATGTCTACTCGATACACGGAAATGAACTGATGTATTTATTGTCATCGCTCAATTATTGCCCCAAAAATGACTAATTTCGATAGTTTTGGTTTCCATTAGTGGTGAGGTGATACTAAATGAAGCTAGGGATGTCAAAAGAACTGGACCAATCCAAACTGAAATTTTCGGGTCTTTTCAGGTCGGATTCCTTCCTATTTGGGTAATAAGTTTAAAAAAATGGGTAAGTAAACAGTTCGAATCATACATTGTCTTTCTCCTAAAAAAGGCCCTCCAAAAAAGTCTCCTTTAACGTTGTATTTTGCACTTCGACTTGAATCGAACGGTGTTTTCAGTTTGGGTACTATACGTTTGATTTAGGAGCACACATATACCAAACATGTTCACGTCGGTTTATGTATCATGGAATCCCAAACCGTTGACATCCTTAAATGAAGCCCACCTCTCCAACCTGCTCGAATTAAGAATCCAATCGCGACCTGACCTAATGAAAGGATCTTGTCTTGGTGAAATTACTTATAAACCTCATTTTTCACTAAGTTTAAGAGAAACTAATGATCTTACTCTTTCAAACAACCTCATCGATTAACTACATGAAACTCTAATAAATGTAACTTGGATGGTTGATTTTTAGGGATTTCACAAAGGATACACCAGAGTGCAGCATTATTTCGCATGGGATCTACTATCTTGGATTTATCTTGATTGCGATAAAATCAGGTATTTTGGCACTTATATTCAACGCTTCTTATTATGTTCGCATTGATTGATTAATTTCTCACGAAATATAAAAACACATTAAAGTGGGTACATCGTAAAAATCACATTAGCTATTTCGATAAGATACTAGATGATCAGCTCATCTGATCATTTCGCCTGTCATTGAACAATTTATTTTGGTTGTCTAATAATGATATAAGGTATATTCATACACACATTACATTACAGGATATATGACCTCTACATTGCTACTACACTCGATGTACGCTAACATAGGCTTTTTTTAAATTCTTTCAAGCTGTGTCAATATTTCACTGGTATTAAGAAGCATTCTTCTAAAATCACAGAAACGAAAAACGAAAAAAACAAACAGACAACATTACTAAAAAAAATGCACATCTACTCATTTAATAGAAATTAAATTATGTGCCTTCATAACTTGCTCTTACTAGAAAGTTTACGGACTAAAAGGATCAATTATACATTCTCGAATTTTATATTTCTTTAGAATTTTGCATAAATATCATTACAGCGCAAATAACTCTGGGCAAAAATGAACAATCAAAATTATTATACATACCGCTAGTCAAAATTAGTAAAAATTAAGTTCCGGGATCGCAAAGAAGTTCGCGAAATTCTCTGGGCGGGTGACACGTGTAGCTCACAGTTCAAAAATGAAAGGGGTAGAGATAAAGATGGAAAAAGAAAAAGAAAAGAGAAATTTTTTAACTGTTTTTTGTCCTTTTCACTGCCCCACCGACAGCTGCCATATCACAGTCGGTTAAATGTCAATTTCGCCCTTAATCCAATTAATGTAATTACGCCCTTAACCTTCATCAGCTTTTCGCTAATATCTATCTTTTCCGAGTGTATTTTTGGCAAAATCTCATTTACAAATTGACCCCCCATGTTTTGTGCCGCTGCCCAATCCCTTCCCGGTTTAATTTTCAGATCAGTCCCCGGAAAAAAAAAGGGTTTACATATCACTTCTTCAATTAAAAAATTGTTTCAATTGCTTATTTCGCATTGATTATTGGTCTCCATGTAGCCTCAACAAAAAACATTTAAAAAGGAGTGTGCATATTTTGATTTGTTGAGTGTGAATAACGAGAGGACTTAATTTCACATCGTACAAGTTAGCGGACTCGGTTTTTCCAATTTAAAAGACTCGATCGTGCAATGGGCATAAATTTCAAGGGGAGAAGCGATATTATCCTTTTTCTGTAAACACCCGTCTATTGATTCATTGCTTCCATATATTTATCTCATTCGCGTACAAGTTTAGAGAAAAGATTTTTCCATCAATCTCCACTAGTTATAGTTAGTATTGTCACAAGAATGTTAATCTGGGTCTATTTTCTTTGCACTTAAGCAAAAGCGGAAGGTACATTTTTTTGCTTTTCCATCTAAATCTAAAACGCGATCCAAATTTCAGAAAATAAAAAAAAAAAACACAACATTTGAATATGCGTGTCAATATTACGATAAATCCGGAAAACCAATCGAAATTATTTTATGTAACTTTATTCACTTTTTTATTGCAACCTACACACGTATTTCGCCACTAAGATCATGCTGAATACTATTGGCAATCGAAAAACATTGCAAAATTAAAAAGAAAGGTCATTATTGCTAGATATATACACACTCCAACTGTACATCACCAAGACATTACCCAAAGTAAGTTGCTTACCAAAATTATAAGTCAGAAATTATCAATAAATCATAAATCACTTGCCTGTTTTTTTGGGGGGGCCAAATGAATACGACTCAACTCGTTCTCGTGCTTTCCAGCACAGCAGTCAGGATCAACCTGCCCAATTTTACCCAAAAAAAAAGAAGAAAATCATTCATTAATCAGCATTAAGCCCTTCTAATGTCACAATACACAATAATGTCCACACAAAAAAAAAAAAAAAATTCAGAGCTTCCAGTCTTCCTCTGCACTCTTCTCCTCTGACGAAGTCGACCGTTTCTTCCTCCTACAAAAGAGCCCTCCTCCCTCGCGAGACATCTCTGCGGCAGAAGCGAACGCCTCGCAGGTAACCTCCATTCGCGAGCAAGGCACCGGAAGAAGAAGGAGAAGAACAAGTGGAGGAGGAGGAGGAGGAGGAGGTGGTGGTTCGTCATGTTCCATTCGCTGAGCCTCTCGAGAAAGGGACCTCTGGGCTCCGTATGGGTGGCTGCTTACTACCACAAACGCCTCAAGAAAGCTCAGGTCGCCGAGACCGACATTCCCATCTCCATCGGTTCGTATCTTTATCTGGGTCTTGCGGGAAATGGAAGTTTCAATGGCCTTTGTGACGTAAAGGAGAGAACTTTTTGAAGCGCCGTGGCTGTTGGTTTTCTTTTTGTTCTTTGGGCGGTTAAGGAAATTGCGAGAGGAATACTGTCGGTGAGGGTGCTCCTACGAGTGTTTAATTTGCTGGGCTTGTACGTGAATGGCGACATCAACGTCGTCCCTTTCGGTGATAAACGTCAATGGCTCACTAGTTTTTCACACTGTTGCTTTTGCAAATCGTCAGTTTTCCGCTATGTGCTTTCGCTCAGTCATTCAGCGAGTCTTCCTTCCATGGTCTGCTTTGAATGGCATGCCGTATCAGACTATCAGTTATCGGTGCTTATACTTCTGATTTGGATTAATGGTGATGTATTGGTATCTTTTGTTGTAGATGGAAAAGGCAAGAGTGTAGAGTAAAATACATGTGCTAGATACAATTTTCTTATGGTGGTGAGAGTCAGCTAAATTAAATGGAGTCTGATTTGTAGCGTCATGACCTGAAGAGTGCGGCTTTGTCTTTGTCTACTTACGGTTTATAGCTGAATTTGTTTGTCTTTCATTTATTTGTTCATTCTGCTCTTCTTCTTTTGCAGATAAGATTTTGCAGGATGAATTAAATGTTGTCACGTATAGAGTGTTAGGCTACTTTCTCCTCGGGGTTGTGAGAATATACTCGAAGAAGGTGGAGTATTTGTTTAACGACTGTCATAAGGTGCTTATCAAAGTGAAGGAATTTGTGGTAAGTGAGAATGGAAAACATGGCTCATGTGCTGATATACTGGGTGCTCCTCGTAGCTCGATCAGTCTCCCAAAGAGATTCGAACTCGATGCTTTTGATCTGGAGATTGTTGACGATGTTAGTAGGTATGCAAGTTTGTTGTATTGACTTCTTGCAATCAAGTCTTTCTCTTATCTGATAACTCATTGCATAATACTTTTTATTGTACTTGACAGGGGTAATCTGATGCTGCCGGAAGAGATCACCCTTCCAGGTTACCTGATTATTCTAGACGATCTGTTATTCATTTAGCCTATTCTCACTCATATATGTTCTTGTGTTGCAGATGATATGTGGAGAAATAAGGAAATAGCCCAGTCCTCTCTAAGGAAGGTACAAGCGGTACAGCTGATGCCATGAACTCTGTGGATTTATAAGCCGGTTCCTTTTGGCGGATACCAGTAGCTTCTATATATATCTATCGAAAAACAGTAGTTTCTATAGACGCAGTGACGCAGCTACTTTGGTGTCATTAAATGATACTTGGGCTGTATATCCATCAAACCATTTTGTTCAGTTAAACCAGATTTGTTGCATTCAATTTGACTGGCTACTTTGGAATTGGGGTTTGCTGAGTTGGTGCTAATCGCCTATTCAATGCTGCAGCGTCATTGGGAAGAAGGAACCGCTCATTTCGACAGTTCCTCCTCTGACTATACTGCAGTGAAAGAGTATGCTCAAAATCCCATTCTACTTGAAAGATTTTCTCAATATTGTCTAAGCATGTTAAAATTATCATCTTTATTGTGTTTCAGTGATCTTCCATCTCATTCTCATGTGATGGACACTGATCACGGAACGGGTGCATCAGATTATCAGAATTACACCAGCATGGAGAGGCTTCGAGATGATAGATTTCAAGAAGGATGTTCATATTCTCTCACTTTTCTCGGCGTTGGAGGAAGTTCTTTAGACCCTGACTGGTGGTTTGGTGAAGATAATCACGCTGATGAGCAGCAGATGAGTCCTAAGGAGGTATCACCAGCCAGTGGTGAGAAGCTTCAGGATGAGATAGATCTTCAGAAACCAGACAAGAATTCTTTGACAGATGGGACTGGCATGGAACCTTCAGCCCTACTTGACACATTTTTGGAGGAGCATTTTTCCCATCCACAGACACTGAAGCTACCTGAACTGCTGTTAACTGAAACCAGAGAGCATGAGGTTCTCAAAACACCAGAAAAGCAAGATGTTCAAGGTGCAATTGGTTCATATTACTGTTTGCATTAACATAGTCGCTTGTAAAAACAGTCCGTATGACAAGGTATCTTACCCTATCAACTATGGTTATTAGCAAGGATTGAGAGTGAAAATTATGAGTCTAATGTTACCTATTGGTAAATTTCTATGTTTCCTTTGTCTACCAGCTGGCCCTGTTGATTGATTAAGGAAGGCTCTTGCTACTGTCCTGAGATTACATAATTAAAACCTTGCCTCAACCAACTAACATTTTTTTTTCTCTTTTTATTTCCATCCATAGGTGCTCCTACATCTGATTTCATGCTTATTCCGACACCTACCCCCAAGGAGCGTCCGCGGACAAAGAGGAAAAGGAAGGGCCTATATGATGATCTAATTGTGCTGCCTAATGCGTAAGTGACGATCTGTTCATGTTTGATGAGTAGCGAAAACGAGCACCTGATACTAGGTTAGGACTGCCTTGAAGCTATTATCTGTATACCTGTATGATAAAACAGCCGCTTTGATAATGTTCTTAAATTACGTGGTGGCAATGCGTGAAAGGCAGTCATTTTTTTTAAAAAAGATTCAGTCACATTGTTTTACATGGAAATCAAGATGTTAATTTGCCGAGTAGCTTCCTGTGCAAGAGAAGTGTTCGGCTGCTGTAGAAGTGTAAAAGTTGATGTCCTTATGACATCGCATGAGTAATTATCTACACCAAAGAAATCAAGTTGAACGACAAACACTATTTGCTTAGTCCAAAAAAGGTGGGAATACCATACAAGTTGAGTACATTGGGACAAAAAATTATTGATACATCAAGAACAGGGTGCAACGTAGTATAACATCCAACACCCAATGACTCTCCCCAAACAGCCTTTTCTGATCTACTTTTTCCTGTTTTATATTTAGCCTTCAAATTGTCAATTTGCCGTCTCTTCAAGAACCATTTCCAGCATCCTATCTTTCTCAAATGTTTGGCATTTGCATTAGTCAGCTCAGTTTACAGTGGGAATGCTTCCTAGAATGAAACAAATGAAATCGAAATTGATGCATCACCAATAATCATTATTAGGTGGATGGAACCTGAGAAGTGGTTAGTAATTCGAAATTTTCTTGCAACACTTAATGTTCTCTACTTTTACAGGGCCATCAAGAAAAGCATTCGTGACGCAAGTGACTTGGTGTGCAAACGAAGGAAGGCTCCTCATAATGACTATGCTGTGTGGAAAGCCACTAGATTGTCCAATGCGACCATTAGGTTCTTTGAGCCCCTCCTTCCTTGTGAGTATGATACTACGTATGTCCTCTTGCTTCTGACTTGTCTGTGAGACTAATCGGCCAAAAATCAGCAGGTACTTCGGCAGACCTCAGAAATCTCTTTCTTAGGAAAGATATTGACTACTTGGTACCTCAGGAAGCTGCTGGAGTTTGTGAAAAGGGCGACAGACCAGAGACTTTGGGACCTCAGGAAGCTGCAGGAGTTTGTGAAAAGGGCAATTTACTAGAAGTTTGTACCGATGATAACGCAGTTGAGTTGGGAATAGCCCCAGAAACACCAGTCCAACGCTCATCATCAAGGAGACCCTTTGAAAGCCCAAATGTTAGTACCCCAGATGGAACGAAGCCCGAAAAATCCAATGAAATTGCAAGTTTGGGTCAAGACGTGCCCATGGTTGAGGATCAAGATCTTGGTTTTAGTCTAATGAATGAGGTAAGTCAATATTCAACTTTACCACAAGGAAGCAGACTTTGCTTTTTTTTTTTTGGTCAAAAAGCTGACTTTGCTTTAAGATATAGAATAATTCAGTTTTCTTGCTTTTTGGGCAATTGGTGCTTATAGAACAATTTGACTATGATGTATATGATGGTCTTTGCCAATGGGAGACATGGAACTTATTTGTGCCCCCATATGAAATCCCCAAATCAACAAGTAGCCTTTCATTGCTAGGATGGACTTGTCGGAGTATTATTTGCTACATTAATGCATATCTACATGTATTGAGCAATACTGAAGCAGCCAATGCCGTTATTTGTTTTTGCCAGGAGTTGAGCTCATCTGCAGGACATAACCACGATGAATGTGAGAGTTAATATCGGGACCTTTCTTGGTTTCTCTCTGTTGAATAATGTAGTGTTGTTTGCATTGTATTCTTATGTGGCTCATATCTTGATTGTCAGGTGGATGGACGGGGAGAACAAGGCAAGATCATTTAACTTGGTTGAATCTGTTTATGTAGATGTCAACTTGTAATTCAATTGAATTTGTGACTATTTAAGGCTTCGTGATGATTTAAAATCACAGTTTTTTTGTCACAGAATTGTGGCAAGACACTTGCAAAGGATATCCAATAAACAAAGTAAAAGCGGGGAGGAAGATGTGCTTCTCTTGTTGCAAGTTTCACAGGGGAAAACAAAAAAGGAAAGTGCAAGGCTCTTCTATGAAATACTGGTATGCATAGCTCTTGATTTTCATGTGTCCGGGCTTTTGAGCATTTACAGCATTTACGTTTCTTTTTTATGTACATCGATCTTATGAAGATATTGTGTTGAGTGAAGGGCGCCAATATGATCAATAATTCATCGGGGGTTGCCCTTTCCCCCTCCTTCATCACTGATGTTATATGGTGACAATCAGAAAAGACTGAAACTTAACTTTATTCTCTTTAGACTCTGTCCTCGAAGCATAAATTATATGGGTATGGCAACGAGTATGGCTGAATCTTCGTCCGAAATTCACGATTGTAAACATTTCCACAGGTGCTGAAAAGCAAGGGATACATCGAAGTAGAGCAAGAGAAGGCTTATGGCGACATTCTCCTGGGGAGGCTTCCCAAATGGGAACAAGCTTTTGGAGCTGATGGCCCATGAGTAAGATTAGATTGGACAGGATCGGATTAATGCACATAAAGTTTTGAGCTTTCTTCGCAGTGTACAGTCGGATCGCAGGTTAGGTTCAGGAGTTCAGGTCCCTTGTAGTGAATCTGTACATAAAAGTTAGAGACCTCATTTCATGTAGATGACATTTCTGAGTTGGTTTAGCCGGAGTCAGAAGTTCTAAGAAGCACATTGCCGAGGCTGTCGTCGTGTCGCGCCTCACGTTGCACTGGACATTCTGTTCTTACTTTGATTATTCAATCAAGAGCCATTGATGTATCATTTGCATTGTTACAGGACTTGGCAGGGACTAATGAATGAAGGAGACCTCGTCTCATGAAAGTTTTTTGCCATTCTTTTTAGTCCGTCATCACCACCATGGATTGTCTTGTGTTGCTGATCAACTGTCATTCTCAAAGTCTTCATAAATAAATTTTTCTGCCCAAATCATGATAATGTAAAGAAACAAAGTTTGCATACTAAAATAATCTTTTTCCCTCCCATCATTATCGCAAAAAGTTAGACCAATTAGCAAAGGCTATGCAACTTTTTTAAACGCTTAAATCAGCAACTTTTGATCATGGTTGTAAATTCCACTTTTCAAACGTCCATTCGACCAAAAAAAAAAAGAACGTCCTAAAAAATACACGACTTTTTACCATTGTTGCAGATTTGCACATCAGCAATTCTACCCTTTCAGTTGCAACTCATTCCTAGCAAAACTAATTTCAAAGGGCTAAAGAAGACTAGATATGGAAGGCATCGAAGGTTTGGGGCTATTACGAATCAGTGTCGGTCCCGGTGCGAGTCAAAGTTACCCTCTATGGAGGACAACGATAAAATTAGGACCGGCAATTCGTGTTCATGTATCATATTCGAGTCACGTAATCTTGTCAAATCATGTCATCGAAAAACACTATGTTTTTGGTAATTATGCTATATCGAACTTAATGCATGTCCAATTTTCGTCCGTCCATTCATACGTAACATGCGAAAGAGGCGATGATAACGGACCAAAATATTAACAAATGCTGAACTAACAACCATCGAAAAAAGGCCGTATATTTCTTATACAATTAAAAGTTCGCATTAAATTTCCAATGATGGTAAAATGTTTGAGTATTTTTCGAGTCGTTTCAAAGTTCTTGTTAATCTCGCAATAATGCTTAAAAGCTGCGTAATTCTTTCATGAATTAGCCGAAAAAGTCGTCTTGTGGAAAACGAACTCAAGCGAAAAATTTCGTAATTTTTCTGGAGAAAGCATTTTCCGGGAAACGTACACTTTGAAGCCCAAGAGAAAAACCTAGCCCCGGTAACCCCTCTCCCTCTCCGTCTCTCTCTATCTCTCTCTTCGCTGAGTCGACTGGTTCCGGCGTGACGCCGCGCCATTTGAAGCGGACTCGAAGCGGCGGCGCTTCACGCATCCCGCTGCAACACTGCGCCGAACCGAGCCTCGTTTCGCCGGAACCCTAACCTCCCTTCGCCGTGCTCGGAAGCCTTTCCTCTTTTGCGGCCGTACAGCTTCGGAGGCATGGCAACTCAAGCCGCCGCCGCCGCCGCCGCTACTTTCAATGGCAACATGAAGGTGAGCTGAGGTTCTAGCTTACTTCATAATTTCTGGACTCGTGGGGATGTGTTGCCCATAGGGTATGGAGTTAAATGTATCTATTCAGCTCATGCTTCAGTCTGAGATCGATTAGAAGAAGCACCCCCCAAGTGTTTGTGATATTGACTCAGAGAGAGAGAGAGATAGTTTTGTGATTTGGTCGCGCATTGGTCCTGTTTTGGAGCTCGTTATGCCGTTCGCTTGTTTGCTGTGACATTTCGTTCTCTTCGAATTCTAGCGTCCTCCTCAAGTTCACAGATTCTGATCGTGGGTGCTTGGTGCGTATTGTACGTGTATTTGAGCGGGCCATGCGATGGTTCGGTGATTTGATTAGATTGGGAGCACATTTTGGCAGCGTGTGGTTTTCGAATTTGAGTGTACGTTGATTGCGTGGAGACAGGGGGATATTAGCATCATCAGTCAGAAAGAAACTTCGCGTGCCTCGTTGTTCTCGACATGATAGCTGGATCGACAAATTGACATTTTTTCCATGTTCCTGCAGAAAGCACTTGCTGGCTTGAGACGTATCAATCTGGATGGACTGCGGTGGAGAGTGTTTGATGCAAAAGGCCAGGTTGGAGGTTCTCTGTTGTACTGTCTTTCTGTGATATTGTACAGCCTCAGATTTTGCATGAGCTTGTGTCTGTTCATGTGGCGGAGATTTGTGTATGCTAATTGTCCTGCACAATAGGACTGTTGTACGGGGAAAACTTTTGTGCTGAATATTCCATTTTGATTGCACTAGCTTTAATACCACTGTTAAGTTTGCATTTATATAACACCAAATTCCTTTCCAATAGGTTCTTGGGAGATTAGCTTCTCAAATAGCAACCGTGGTCCAAGGCAAGGATAAGCCCACATACGCTCCTAATCGGGATGATGGGGATATGTGCATTGTGCTTAATGCAAAGGATATTTGTGTCACAGGGAGAAAGATGACAGATAAAGTTTATTACTGGCATACTGGGCAAGTCTCTCTCTCTCTCTCTCTCTCTCTCTCTCTGCACGAAGGTAACTGTGTTTTTGAGAGCATGTGCAGTATGCTCGTATGTACATGCACATGGGTGGCACACTCATTTACACAAGTGCAACTGTATGTGTCAGTACCATACAATGCTTAAGTTGATTCACTGAAGTCTCTGTGATGAGGTCTGCAAACGCCTCTTCTTTTAACGTTGAAAGCTTGCCGTTAAGGCACTTCTTACATAATTGTCTTTGTTTGGTCATTTCGAGAATAATTTTTATAACTACTTACAACAACAGATTCATATGCAATTTTGCTATCTATAACCCACATTTCTGCTGCTTTGACTCAATCTTTTTCTCTTACATTTATGCATGAACTGCCTTGAGTCTTGAGATGCGCTTCCTTAATCTTCTCTTCTCATGTTTATGATTCTGTCTGTTCTAATTATACCTGGCATTCAGGTATGTGGGCCACCTCAAGGAAAGGACCTTAAAGGACCAAATGGCGAAGGACCCCACAGAAGTCATTAGGAAAGCAGTTCTCCGCATGCTTCCAAGAAACAAATTGCGTGATGTAAGCGAAGGGCCAATTTTCTTCTGATGAGTTTCCTCTGTCTTTAAATGTGACCTTCTTTTTCTTTACTTGTGTCTTTAATTGTTCTAATACGAAGATATTCAGGCCCAATAAGTATTTTCCTCTAAAACCGCATCTGAAAAACAGTTTGTAAAGATTTCAAATCTCTGATGCCTATCGGAATTCGGGAATTACTTCATACAAAGACTGAAAGAGAGTACAACTGGCTTATTGCATCTATCATGCTGTAAAATACGAGGACCACTTCTAGCACTGTTGACTGCAGTGGTTCATGACCATATGTATAAAATATTTACTTTAGATTTGTTTTGTCGCTTTTGTGTGGAGGCACTGATGAAATTTCCTTGTGGAAATATTAAAATTGCTTTAAGATGAAAGTATGACAAAAGAGGCAGGCTCTGTATAATTGTTACTGTTTGTAAAGATATTTCTTTCCATCTCGCACGAAGCATCAGTATTCTAACTAGTCAAAGAACAATAGCTGAAAAAAAAACAACAATGGAGCCTATGACACATTTTGTAATCAGCATTCGTGAGTATTCCTATTATGTGGTTAATTCAGAATTCTGGTGAGAGGAAGCTAAGCTATTACGTTGGAGGTATCTGGTTTTTACCTTGCTGGTTGGCAATCCAGTTCGTTCAACTTTCTGTTCTTAAAATGACAGTTCAATTAAATCACGCAGCTTTTCTCTGGTTGCATTTCCAATTATTATCCTAGCTTATGTTTGAATCTAATTAAAGGCCGTTCCTTGTTCTGGATGCAGGATAGAGACAGAAAACTCAGAATATTTGCTGGTGGTGAACACCCTTTTGCTGACCGGCCTCTTGAGCCTTATGTGATGCCTCCTAGGCAAGTACGGGAAATGCGACCTCGTGCAAGACGTGCCATGATTCGAGCTCAGAAAAAGGCTGAGCAGCAACAGCAGGAAAGCGCCGACACAAAGAAGGGTAAAAAGAGAGAAAAGACCCCAGAAGTCAGTGAATGAAGAGAACATGTCTAAGAGCAGTTACATTTGATTGCCTATGCGTACATGTTTGGATGCGCAATCCATGCGACATCTCCTTTGCAACCTCTTTTTGTCCAATGTGGGATTCTGGAGCTTGTCTATACTCTTCTCTGGGCAGATCGATTGGATTGCTGTGAAAATTTTGCGGGGATGGGTTCTATTTTATGCAACAAGGGAATAATTGACTGTAATTTAGATGCTTGCTGAGAGCTTCAGTGGTTTGCAAATGTGTTAATTTCCCGAGTCACTCTTTTTGCGAAACTGGTTGTGGAACCAGGTTCTGCCTTTGATCTTAATCTTGTTTTCCGTCTCCAGTTCACCGAACTGTCTCCATAGGGATGGTTGCGTACAAAACATGCGCACCCGTATATCCATCTTGAGACTCTATAGTGACTAGCATCTCTAAGCAGTGTCATGTTCGACAGTAGCAACTGAATGTATGAAATTATAGGGGATCAAGCCTTTTGCAGCACAATGTCTTTGAACTTATTAGCTTCACTCTGAATGGCTCGTCAAGGTTAATAAGTTTCTTAGCTATACAACCAGGCAGGTGCCGAATGCTTTTGCTATGTGGATGGAGTTGCTTAATCCAAACGACAAAGTTGTCAACTACCTAGTACGTTCGAATGGACATGGGATGGAAATTGTATCTCTGGCATTAGATCCTCTACCAACTTCAATATTCGCCAAGAATCTTACACTAAGCAAGTTGTGAATATCTTCATATTTTCAACAATGGCGTACTAATATGGCAAAACTGAAAAATGATCACGAACATAAAAGCAATGACAAACTTCTTGTTTGCCAGAGATTTTAGGCTGAATGGCATTTGCGGAGATTCAGGCGAAAAACGAAGAGGATCACACCAATAGGAACGAGCTGCTTTCCATTAACAGACGATAAAATTAACCTAGAAAACGATTGTCAGAAAATTGCAGTTACAACTATCTGGCTTGGGCATGACATAAAAGTCAGCCTCCTGAGCCATTACTTAAAATCACAAAATTTACTTCTACTGTCAGCTTGGAATTCACAAGCAGAATCTCTCTTCACCAATTTAAGGATATTGAAAGCAAAAGAAAAGAAAAATTGCAAGCCTTAAGCAAGAGGAATTAAGTAGACTATCGAGTCCTCCATGCTAATGAAACATCCGCACCTTCAGCTTGAACTCGGAAAGAAAAAGAAACAGAGACTATCAGATGCTAATCACTTGATGATCCATCATCATCATCTTCATGGTCTGCCACAACTTTCTCTATGAACTTTTTACGAACTCCGTCAATGACAGCTTTTCTTGATGCATCACCTTTGCTCTGCCCATCATTTAGTACGGGATCTGATTCGCAGAGAACTAGTGCAACACCTAGAGGAATAGGTCGAAGATGAAAAACATGAAACTGAGAAATTACAAGAATGCTACAGCAATTGGAGGACAAGGCATGCAGAAGCATAAAAGCCAGACTAAATTGCATCAAGATTGTCCAGCAAAGAATTAAAGCAAGTTTGATACGAATACAGCATTCTCTTATAAGAATGTAAGCATGCTCAAACCTTCATAAATACCATGGCTATGTCCACTAAAGTTTCTGAAACTATTTTCAATATAAATCGGGCCCCTAAATTAATGATAGAAAAACATAAAAAACTAAGCACAGGTAGAGATCAGAGCGAGATGTTTTAGATGCCATTATGATATCTTAGTGCCCTTTAAAATACAATAGAGTCTTAACTCAATACATGTTTCACATTCTTTTAAGTTCAATTGTCGTTCCCTTCACAATATGCACCAGATGCCATTCAACCAATGTAAATTCCATGAACTTAAAGTAAGTTCGAGGCACTCGAGAAATTGTGATGCCGAACAAATTAACAATCATTGATGCAAAGCAGCATAATGTGAAACAGATCAAATATTGGAATTCCCATACCAAGAAAAGCATAAAATGCTCATGTTCCTTTGAAACAAAGAGCATGGTGACAACTGCTGCAATTTGAAATGATACCTTCAGATGTGCATCTGCGGCCAAAACTCTGCAAGCCCACATAGTTAGCTTTCACTGCACCATTGTTGTACACTAGTATAGTGGGTACATTCCGATCAGGGTAGTTCGGGATGCAATCAGTAGATATAATCTTAACAAACTTCGTCGCAGGATATCTCGTCGCCAATTCTTCCAGACAATTCATGAGCACTCCACACTCTGCAATTCTGTCAACCAAACGCAACGTCAGTAAACCAATCTAGAAGATATCGCAATTCAGTGGCTGAAGCATAGCAATTGCCGGTGGCTAGCACGATACCCGTCTTTGTAGAGAATGACGACGACCCAAACTTCAGGAGGAGCTTGCGAAACCTCTCGCACGAAATCCGATCCTGAGATGGGAATCACCGATCCGTACTTTATAACCTTAGCCGTTTCCCTCATCTCGGCCAACCTCTTCTTTCTGTCAACAAGTTCACACCGCAAATAAGAGAATTCCTCTGAACAAACGAAAAACCAAACAAAACAACTCATACTAAGAAAATTCTCATTTCTGTTTCCTTTAGCTAGACTATACGCACGCACGAGAACACCCCATTGAACAAAAAATCCAAGGACAAAGGCAAGCGAAAAATCCATCAAATAACACCTGAAACTCCATATGTTCAATCAAGTTCTCTCCTTTAACAACCCCAGCAAGCACAATCAGAAACTTCTCATTTCTGTTTCCTTTAGCTAGAGTACATGCACACACGAAATCAAACCATTGAACAAACAATCCAGGGATAAAGGCAAGCGAAAATTCCAACAAATAACACCTGAAACTCCATATGTTCAATCAAGTTCTCTCCTTTAACAACCCCAGCAAGCACAATCAAGTTCTCATTTCTGCTTCGTTTAGCTAGAATATACGCACGCACGAAATCGCACCATTGAACAGAAAATCCAGGTTTAAAAGCAAGCCAGAATTCCAACAAATAACACCCGAAACTCCATATGTTCCATCAAGCTCTCTCCTTTAATAACCCCAGCAAGCCTAGCCGGTCCAATCTCATCACACTTCTCCCTTTCTAACTCCAAACCCAAACACACCGCACAAAATCAGGATCCTCAATCAATCCCATCATCAGGCACCCACACAGATCGCGGCTAATTCGCGATTCCCAAATCACCACCGAGGACGGAAACAAAGCCCGACGGACCTGTACTCTTCGAGGAAGCGGTCGTCGTCGAGGTCGGGGTCGTCCTCGAGGTCCTCGAGCTCCTCCGGGGTCTTGCCGTCGATCCACGACTTGTCCCTGGGCAGCGACTCCGGATCGGGCGGCGGAGCGAACGGCGGCGGCTTGAACGGCGGCGGCTTCTCCGGCAGGTTGCCGAGCTTCCTCTGGATGTCGTCCCACTGCGTCGACGCGCCCTCCGCGTCCTTGTACACGAAGTGGTAGTCAGCCATTGTTCCGATCTCGTCCTGCGTCGCTTCTCTCGGGAGAGTTCCAGTTTTGCACTAGAAATGGAAGAAGAAGAAGCTTTTAATGCAATTCCATTTCATTTCATTTTCTTTTTCTCTTCTATTATAAAATCTTTTATTTCGCGAAAAAGTAATAATTTAAAAAACATATGTATACATTTTAAAAAACGATCGTTTTGTATCGTTTGAAATAATTAGCCAATAAAAAATATTTTACTACGTCAATAATAATTTATATTGGCTAACAATTTATATATAAATATTTTTGTGTATAATGAAAATATTTTTCGTTTATTCATTTTTTATGAGCGATATAAATTATATTTTTAGAAAATATATATTTTTGAATCATTTATTCTCTGCGACAAATGGAGCCAATACGTGAGTTTAAGAAAAAAACATTAGTTAGGGCAACCTGTAAGGTATTGTCCCTTATTAATTATTAATTCCTACTTAGTAATTCGTATTTGTGCTACTCTTCTATCGCAATCCCGATTAGAGACAGTTTATTACTAAAATCTAATCATAATAATTGCGAGGAGATTAAAAATAAATTTTACGTAGCATATAGATTAAGCTTAACAAGTTTCACAAAATACGCTGATCTCGTCGCCGATAATAAAATTCACATGCGGTTTGTGGGATTCGATGTGTCGATGAACAGGATACCATATGGCTATTTGGCTTGCATGAGCTTAGGAAACATTCTCAATGTTTTTAATTAGATCTTGGGGTTTTTATATCTTTTTTTCCTTTTTGATATTCTTGTATCTGTCACCATTTTTCATATCAATAACAATATGCAAATTTGGAAATATGGTTTTATAATTTTAAAACTTCAAATTTCCCATTTTGGCTTCCAAATTTTGAAAAAAATAATAATAAAAAAGCAAGTTTTGCCTTTTCTTTTAACGAAAACCAAACAAGGCTGTTAATAGTGCACCGAGCAATCTGAGGAACCTTCGACCCAAAAAAAAATAAAAATCTGAGGAGCCAAGGAGCAAGACATGAATGATGTTGTAGGCTCGTTGTTTCATCCAAATATAACCAGATTGCGCATCTGATTCCGTCATTTGGTTATCTTGTTACCGTGCAATAATCAATTCATCCGTGGGAGAATGTTAGGACTCAAATTCCATATTATTGACAGAGAAACGAACGCTGATTTGGGTGATTTCCGGATTCGATTTGGGGCTAGAATTCTCGGACAATATCTAGATTCGCGAAGCCCTAGTTCGGACGAAGTCGTTTCTTATTACAACGAGGGACACCGACACATCGTCTGAATTAAATTGAATCTCAGCAATGCTGGTGACGCGACGGTCGGGGGCTGCCGCATCATCTTCCGTTTGACAGATCGCATGCCACATAAGTAAAATCTAAAGGCAAGTTTAAAGGAGCGGCCAGATTTGTCCATCGTAATAGGGGTTTAGGTCCTTCTTAAGAAACGCTTGAATCTGGAGGGCAAATTTGACCCACGGGGTGAAAGAGACTTTCGTTTACAAAAACCCCATAGTAGAAGAAAGCTTGATTTTTTTATTTTTTTTTCGATTGGGCCGTCCCACTATTTTTTTTTCCGTATTTTGTGCAACCATTACGTCAAAAATTCAATCTTTTCTTATTGAACATGGTAAATTTTTTAACCTCTCACGTTTTTATTCAGCCTTCTCGACAAAACATCCAAATGAAGTGAAGTGGAGAACGCCAATGGAAGGTCTCTCCGATTAAAGCAGGTGGGGGCTTCGCAGTGCTTTGCTTCAGCAACATTACAATTTTCATACATCAAGTGTCTATGGAAACCAACAACATAAGACAACCGAAGCTTACGTCCATTTCCTTCTCTTCTAAGCTCCGACCATAACCCAGAAGGCCCTTAAAAACTAACCTTTTCTTCAGTTTCGTGCATCGGGCCACCGGTCAACTGCAAGACCTCCCGACCTATCAGCAACACAGATACTGCATCGGATCGCCAGGCAACTCCCGATCTATCAGCGACACAGACACCGCGTGAGATCGCAGTTCACTTTAAGCAGCACACAACGTTCGGCGGGACGCTACTCAGCACATATCCGTCTACATTTCGCTATCTAGATAGGTGATGTTCGATACACGATCACAGTATTTCGGAAAGTCTACCCACTGATGAGTCTCACAAGCCAACACTGAGTCAAGAAGCTCCAACACACCCCCCCTTCATATGCTTTTTCCTTTTCTGATATTGCTTTTTGTTTTTTTTTTTTTGTTTTTTTTTTTAAGGGATTCAGTGAGGCAGCCACTGTCCATAGATTTGTTCGCTCATTTAGTCCAGAAGGCAGCGAAAGACTTATCTTCGACTTCTCCGCATCTCAATCGATTTCCCCTTCCTCAACATCTTCGTGATTAGAAAATGCAGGTGGTTCGGCTTCTTCCTCCTCCTCGTCCGCTTTCATGAACAGGCCGAGTTGTTCTAAAGGGTTACTACCCCCGAGCTTGAAGCTTCCCAGTGCTTCCAGATTATGATCTGGGCTCGTCTCATCGGCAGAGCTCGGTAAGTGCTCTCCTGGAGCAGTCCTGAGCATTTCCAAGTCTTCAAGGAACCGAGAATTCTCATTTATCTCCACTGTCTTCTCCATCTAAGACGAGTACAAGGCAATGCTCAAGTTTCATGCTTTCCTAATACGAAAAGGACACTAGACAAAAGCAAATTTAAGGTGTACTCATTCACCTTGAGCAATGCCTGTCGAGCAGCTTCTCTCTCCAGTTCCCTCTTCCGCTTAGCCTCAGCAAGAGCTTCAGCTTCAGCTCGCCTTCGAGCTTCTTCAGCAGCTTTTGCTTCCGCTTGCAATCGTGCTTTTTCTGGTAACATTGCAAAACAACCATCTTTAAGATCAACTACACCAAAGGGCAGTGTCTCTAAAAAAAGAAGCAAACGATCAATACCCTTCCTTTGCTGCATTTCAAGCTCCTCTCTCTCCCGGCGAAGTTTCTCAGGATCTCCCTTGTCACCCTATCAAACAATATTAATTTATGGCTCCCAATGTAAAAACGTCTACAAATAAATTAGCCTAATTATCTGACCAACCTGTGTGAGTGTCTTCTCTCGAGCCTTTAGAATTGTATCAGCGAATCTATTCTTCAACAAAGCTGCTCGATATAGCTTCTCTGGAGAGACCTGCCTCTCGATAGGAGCACTTTCCCCTATGATGTTCGATTAAATTTATCAGAATTGTTTAAACCTCCTGAAAGTTCGAGCACTTCTTCCAGCCAACTTACCGTCTTGGAAGCTATCCGAGTCAACAGAGCCTGCCTTTTGCATGGAAGTCTGCTCAGGTTGGTCCAACACACTGAGAGATCCTGCAAAGACAGAATTCATAAGCGACACGGAGCATACACAGATAGTGACATCTCCATACATAGAGAACAAATCATGCATGAGCAGGATTGACACACAGAGTATACACACACAGTGAAATGTCCATCGATAAGGCATAAAGCATGCTTGGGGAAAATTCATTAAAATAAAGAGCCTTGCCAATCAAGCACAAGGAATACACAAGAGGATCCGCAAAACAGTGACTAGTAACCCAGAATATATTCATTCATGACAGATCTTAGGCCCGTACTATGTAAATTCGCCATTTTTTAAGACCTTCAATGGCCCAAAACCTATGGAAAAACAATGACAGAGTAGAGCATATATCTGCATATCTAAGCCAGTCAAACCACTTTCTTTTTCACCTTTCCCAGTCCAAGTAAAGCCATTACTATACCATATGTCATCATTCATCCACCGTCATCACTTGAGTGCTAACTAATGTACAATCCTGAGAACAACAAAGGTGTGACAAAAATCATGACTTTGACTGAGTCGAAGATAGAGTTTCATTACACTGATCGAAAAGGCAGTCTGAAAACATTCAAATTCCCTCTTGGCAGTTCAGTTTTTTCGTTAATTTCAAAGGTAGTTTTATAACCTTCAGGGCATTCAATATGCAAGTTGCTGGTCAGCAATTGTCTCACGGTAAAATTTGGGTTCTACATTGATGGCCATTGACTACTAGAGGCAATGTGATACAAGTTTTCAAAAGTAAATTCAGTAAAAAAGTAACAGAAAAGGAAAAAAAAACCCTTTACAGGAAATGATAAAGGCCTGTAAGCAAACATAATACTCTTGCAGGAAACTTTGCACCCTAAAATTCTTCCATCTTCAGCGATAAACTTCAAGTTACCATGGCAAGTATTGAGATAAATGATTGATCTTCTCTTTGTAAGACATATATTTTGTGGGAAGAAGTACTTAGAAGAATTGCCGAAAGGAAACCTGTTCTGTCTTCTATAATAACTATAAAACCATTCAGAAATTACCAATATTAGCACCACGCTCAGAATCAACCCGTCTATGTGTCAAGAATTTGTCAGTGTCAATTTTCTCTAAGCAAGAAAACTTTAGACCAAACCCCCCAAAAAAAGATATCATTAAAAGCACCTGAAAAGAGCTTGCAACACATGATTGGAGAATAAATTACGAGGTACCAACTGCAACTTCACAGAAGCTGCATTAAATTCACGGCAACAAATATTCTAGATGTCCTAGGAAAAGTAAATTAGCAAACAGTCTAGCACAGTACTGGTATTAAATTCTTAAGGCTTTGTATCTAAATAGAAAACTGAGTTTACATACTCCTATCACGCTTTTACTACACAGAGATCCTACTTCAGATTTCATTATCAACCAAAAGCGCACAGGAATATCCTTAAATGTTCCACAACACAGACAATGCAGATAAGGTAATAAACTCACGATTAATATCAATCAGTTCGCTGCTCCTGGTCTTTTCATCCCGGTGGCCTTCGGAATCGGCAATTTCCCTTGCCTGAAGAAAAATTAGTTAAGTGTCACAAAGCGCAAAAAGAAGAGCAGAATTAAGGCATAAACACTTCATGACATATAAGCAGAATCTAGCAAATCTCCAGAAAAGGCCACTACATACCTTTGTCACTTTTTCAGCGTCTGAAGCCTTGACATTATCAATTCCACTCTCCGAGCAACTGTTATGGCCTGAATCTGCATACCATGCACGAAACACAGCAGCAAAGGAATGAGTCTAACTTATTCCTATCAATAACAAACGAGTCCAACTTCATCCAGAAAATGCAGCTACAAGGAGAACTACAAAAGTAAAGTTACGGACAAAAAAGATCAAATTCTCACTAATTAGGTCAGTATGTGCTTTCAGCAGTTGGTTATGTTTGCCAGAAGCATAACAAACATGTCACAACTTTTAGATCTTGTTAGAATTTTTTGATAGACTAAGGCCAGGCAATGCCAAGGCTCTTGTCCTTTCTGCCTTTTCAGGTCCCAAATTAGATATACTCTTTCAGAACTGCTTTAAGCTACTGACTTTTCATGTGAACTCCGTTTTTCAAAATATGACTGCATAATACATCCCTTTCCCAAACAGAAAGCTTGAGTAGGCAGTGTCACTACGAAATTCTTCTCATCCATTTACAGCTGGAGCTACCTGAACTATAACATATTTACTAATAGTATGGTGCCTACCCTTTTCTATTTCCATTGGCGAATGGCTTGATACAGGAGGTTCATTTCCTCCGATATCAACTTCTTCATCGCCAGCATTGTTTCCTGCAATATACACGTGTATAACTAAGATTAGATTAATCCAGTAAAAAAAAAGATTAGAATAAAACTTAGACTTGATTGAAATACAACATGAAACCAAAAAAAATAAAATTAAAAAGAACAACCTCTACATGGTTGCATAGATGAATTACTAAAGCCAGATTCATTCAAGATCTGCACAAGATAAGAAAAGAACAGTTCAGCAATAATAAAAAAAGGGCACATAAAGTATCGGTATTGTCTTGAACTTTCTCCTCAATAAATGGAGGAGACAACGAGAGTTCACCTCTATTTCACAAGGTTCAGCACATTCTAGCTTCTTCTGTTTCTCTTGCAAATACTCATCCAGCAAATTCCTTAATGTGAAAAGAACATCGTCGCTGAGATCATCTATGTCAATCTCAATCTCCTCCTCTACAGATTCCCTTCCATTTGAACTATGCTCTCTCAAGAAATCGATAATATTTTCAGGCATTTCTCCCAGCAAAGACTCCAATTCCTGGCCTAATTTATGCTTCTCCTCATCTGTCATTACCCGCAGATGAGGTGCAGGCATAACTTCTTGTTGACTCGACATTTTCCTCTTTTTAGGAAGAGATGTTGACTTGGCTGCTTTTACCTCCTCAGGCGGAGCTGATTTTGTTGATGATGGTTGTGCTCCACCACCCGCAAGTTTCTTTTCAATGGTTTTCCTCCTGACTTCAAAAAATTTGTTTAGAGCATCAGCCATCAAGTGGACATCGTTGCTGGGAGGATTATAGGTCATCGCATTGCTGAAGGTAAGCCTCACATCAGTGAAAAACTCTAATGGGCTCGAATAAGCACCGGATCTCAATTTACCCTTTATGGTTCCCAAATCCATAGGTTGTTTAATCACGTCGAAGTAGTCAGGAATGTTCAATGACTTCACGTCAACAGGTTTATTAAAAACCCAACCATACTGATGGGACATCAGACGATTTAAAAGGGCCTCGCAATCTTTCATTAACGTCGGATTGGCAGCCCTTGGAGCTGAAGCCTGCTTTACTGACTCAAACTTTCCCGTTGCACCACGTTTCCAACCACGAGCCTTTCCATCAGGTGTATTTACTTTCGCTTTCAGCCCAGAAGTCTTCGCAGATGATTTCTTAGCAGCAGCAGCAGCATCAGCAGCCTGCAACCCATTTTGCCCATTGCTGCAACTTAGAATATCACTAGACGACGACAACGTAGCCCCAGTTGCTCTCTGGGACTCAATTTTCTTCTGAAGAATCCGGATCTGTTCAAGTTCTAGCCTCAACCTATGTATCAAGCCTTTTCTTTCAGAAGGTGATATGTTCGATAGAGGAAGGACTTCTGAAGGCACAAAAAACCGAACCCCTCTATTTGTGTTCAAGTTGATGCATTTCTTGGCTGGACCACTAGAATCCTCCGAAACCGTAAACTCCGTGTCGATACGTCCCGAACTACCAGATCCCTCGGATTCACCAGCTGGCGCGAACGAGCTACGGTAATAGTCTCCGGGCAGCCTTGCATTTTCAACCATCATCCTCCCCAAGACCTTACACAAGTTTTCTCTCGAATTCCCTCCGTATTAAGGTAGCCCCGAAAGAGCTATCGGAGCCTCGACGATGAATGACCTCTGCACGTTGATAATCATAGGGACGACATCACCACCTGGACCAAGAATTCATGAGGATGTGCTTTCTCTCCCCCAGTAATAACACTACATGACGTATTGAATCCTCAAAAAAAAAAACCCATTTCCACGAATTTACTTTCTGCCCCCCTCGAAATTCTCTCCAAACCAAACGATTGGAAAAAAAGAGAAAAACCGGTGCATACGAAGCTTAAAATTCCTGATAAAGAAGAGAAATTCGCGGGTTTCACTTAAAACTTAAGCTCGCCAAAGCATGCATACGATAGAATTTGCTTAAGCTTGCCAAAAATATTAAGAAGAAAACGAAACTCCATTCTCCTCGTATCAAAAAAATTTCAATGGAGGAAAAGAAGAAGAAGAAGATCTGCTGGATCAGCTGAAAGAAAAATCGCACATCGGAACGGATAAGGCAGCGAAAAAGTATCAACCCCAACCCTAACCCCAACCCCTCCCGAGAACATCAGCGATTTTTCAAATCAAGCGGCGAAGAGAAACTTCACCGGCGCGACGCACAAACCCTAGATCGGAAAAGGCCGCCGCGGCAAGAACGAGCAACCGGCCAAAGAAAATGCTAACCCAAATCGGGGCCCCCCGCCGGGCCATGCGCTTCCTCAGCGAAGCGAGCGTCGCCGCAAAACCCTAGAATCCGACTGATCCGAAGCCGAGCGCCACTCCACAGTCCCCCCCGAGTCCCGCGAAGAAGAAGAAGAAGAAGAACCGCGTCGAAGCTTTTCGCGAGCGAAGCGACGACGGTCGAAGAGAGAGAGGGATTTTACTCCCTGCGTCGTCTTTAAGGCCCACTTGCTTCTTTTACACGACTTGCTCACGCGATCCCGACCGTCGGCTTGTCGATCGGACGGATGGCGTCGGGATCCGTTATCAGCCGACCCTTTGGGATCGGACGGACGAGATGCGTTTTCTGTCTTTGGTCAACCCCACGTGCGTCACCGACCGACCCGGTTATTCGTGTCCCCGCGCGAAGGAGCGAAGGTGGGGTGACCAGAGGTTGGGCTTACGCCCGGTGACCGTCGTCGGCGATTGGCTGGAATCCGCGCCAGCTGAGTTTTGGGAGTGATTTCATTGGCACCAGGGGGCGCGATCGGCTGCATCGCTCCACATGGGATCTTACCCTCTCTGAAGGTATTAGACACAAGAGAGAGGCTGTCATGTGTTGAACTGAGAAGTGAAAATCGCGTGTCAACGATGATTATGTTGCGCATGGCAATTATTCTGTGCTCAAAAATATATTTTACTTAGAAATATTTTTTTTTATTTTATATTCGAAAATAAATTCTAATCATTTAAAGGTGTTTGGTAACTGTCCAAAATTTCTATTCTTAGAATAGAAAAAGAACATAAATGCATTTGGTAACTACACAAAATTTCATTTTATTAATAATATTTTTAATAATATTTTGAATTATTTAATATTTATTTCTTTTATTTCTTTCTTTCCCTTCTCTTCCTTGGCCAAGGCCGGTCGCCGGCGCCGGCGACTGGCCATAGGCCAGGGCCGGCGAGGGCGTAGCCCCCCTCGCTGCCGGCCTCGCCGATCGCGACGGCGAGGTCGGCCTCGACTTGACTGGGCGAGGTCGAGCCTCGCCGTTGCGGCCGCGAGCCGCCTACGCGGCGGCGAGGGGGACCCTCGCCAGCCACCAGTGAGGGCTGCAACGCCCTCACGGGCCCTGGCCTGCGGCTGGCAGGTGGCAGGCGGCAAGCCGAAGAACAACAACAAACCAAAAAAACGAAGAAAATGAAGAAGAATCAGAAATGGAAAATTTATTCCAAAATTAAGAAGCTACTTTTTTTTGCTTCTTGATTCTGTTCCAAAACTAATTCTAGAAACAATTTTTTGCAAAATTGTTCCCGGGCACAAATATTTAACAAATGGATTTTTACTCCTAAACTGATTCTGAGAACAAAAGAATATGAATTTTTACAATTTAGCAAGTTGCCAACACAGGCCCTCATTGGCTGCCCATTTTTTGGCTGTGTTTTTTTTTTGGTTTGAATTTTTGGCTAAGTTACAAATGATAAGAGTGAGAATTGTTGTATATAAATGCGTAGGTTATAAAAGAAAATTTCATAATAACTAAAGCATCCCGAAACTTTCATCGTGATAAGGAAGCGTTAGGGTAATATTAGTACTTGTGAAGGGCGTGACGAAAATATGATTATGGCTAAGAAAAAAAGGTAAGTCTTTGTATTAATGCTTCTAAAAAGTAAAAAGTGAGATAAATGGCACTTTTAATATCCGAGTGTAAATTATGCAAGTCTGGATTTTGGAAATTATACATAGTGTCTACGGAATGAGACTATAATGCATAAGGAAAAAAGGATTTATAATGAGATGAGATAGAAGGAGAAATTAGTTCATTTTATGTAGTATTTATGGAATAAGACTATAATTTTTTCGTAGTGTCTACGGGATGAGACTGTAATTTTTTGCACGATGCATTATGGTCTCATCCCGTAGACATTAAGTATAATGAACTATAATTTCTCCTTCTATCTCGGTCCATTATAAATATAATATTTCCTTGATGCATTGCAGTCTCATTTCGTAGACACTACGTATAATTTCCGAAACCTAGACTTGCATAGCTTACAGATAGATATAATTTAGGGAGAACGACACGACTGATTATCTAACTTTTGTTCGAGGTGCTGTGCGTCTTCAAACTTTCAATTGATTCTATTACCTTTAACTTGATGGCCAAAATACCAAAAGTAAGATCCTTGACTTGATGGCAAAACAATAAGTCCTCTTAACTTTGTGATTTGCAATATCATCCCTCAATTTTTTTATGATTAAACTGCTCCAATTTTTTCAGCAAAAAGGTTTTTCTATTCAGGACTGATTTCAACACGTGCTTGTTCAAGGATAATAAATCAATGTAAAGTTCAAGAATTATTATACATTGGCCAACAATCCAAAAGCTAATTGAACCAACTGAAACTCAGACAATGACACATTGGGGGGGAAAGGGTTAAATCAGAAAGGACAAAGGGGCAACATCAATGTCCTTAATAAAGCAAGATTAGTAAGATTAGTCACAAAGCATAACTAAACAATGGGAGGACCGTTATCAAAAGTAATTTAGGCACGTGATTTACGGCAACAAAAGAACAGAAGGAAAAAGACTCTGTACACTCTCGGCACAACCAATTTGCTTTCCAACAGTTTGGCCCTAGCATTTGAAAAAAGAATGATAATGGGAGCTATCAAAAGTCTGATGCCTCTCAAAATCTCAAATGTATCCAGGAGGGCTTATTTCCAAACTGGGAATTAGACATTCACATCCGCTCCATGACAAAAATTAAATAACCGATTGGACAAAAATTTGCATCGAAAAGAAGGAAAGAAAGCCATTCCACGGGACAGTTATTCGATGTCCAGTCTGCTGACAAGCATGATGGCCGTTTATGAGGGCAGATGCTAGTTGACCACATCCAAAACCAATTTCCGCGACTTGAGCACCGACCACCTCAAGCGCCTATAATAAGCAGCTTGTAGTAGCGCCAATGACAATACGAATATCCACTTGAATCCCATCTGGATACAGAGAAACATAGCATCAGAAGTTATAAAATTTGGGCATAATATCATCCAAGATAGGAAAAATATATGGCTAAGAAGAAAACTATTAGGGTATACAAAGATCGGAACTTTACCAGCTTTCTCTCTTCCATTTCAGGTTCTGCAGCCCATGATAAGAATGTTACAATATCTTTCCCCATCTGCAGCATAACGAGGCGAAAACTTAAGCTTTACCTGAGAATGATCATCAATAACAAGGACCAAACCTACAAAACCTAAATTACGCGTAGGCAATGGGCACAATAGAAAAATCAGACCTGAGATTCTGTTGCCGGGGTACCATCTTCATACTCGATAGCACCATCATTAAGCATTTTCGGCATTGCAATCGCTCCACCAGGAAAATATGGATTGTAATGCAGTCCCTCTCTTATCTAGAATAATAACACAACATAACTCAGAAATAAGAAACCAAAAAAAAACAAAGCATCATCCATGACTAATGAGAGGAATAACCTCCTACATGTTTGTAAGGCAACTAACTCTTGGATCAGGTCTGCTAAAATTTTTTCCTACGAGACCTTAAATTATTTCTTTGAACTCCTTTCCTCATATCTCCCAACCCCAGTAAAATTAAAGGAAAAAACACAGCAAAAACAAGGGCGCCTAAATATGATGGAACACCACTTACTGCAACGCCAGCCGGAGGATCACGGTAACCAGTCAGCAGTGAAAATACATAATTTTGACCATTGTGACGAGCCTGAAATAGCAAAATTTCAAAATAATCATCTTTCCATGACTGAGTATCATCAGAAAATAAATGAAAACTAGAAAAGAGCAATTACTTTAGTGATTAGACTTAAATCAGGAGGATAGGCCCCTCCATTAGCAAATCTAGCTGCTGCTTCATTTGCATAGGGCTGAGGAAATCGATCACTTAGCTTCCCAGGACGAGTAAACATCTCACCCTCATCGTTAGGCCCATCAACCACCTCAATCTCAGCTGCCATAGCTTTCACCTCCTCTTCCGTATAAGCAACTCCCACAAGATCACGAAACGATATAAGAGACATCGAATGACAAGATGCACAGACTTGCTGGTAAACATGGTGACCACGGCGGATCCTGCTCATGTAAAGCATTCATGTAGACGATTCCTTAAGACATAAAATATTGGCTGAACTATCATATAATAAAAAGTTACAGTTTATGTGCAAATTTTCTAGCGGCATATTAACCCAAAACACTTAATTCAGTTATTATGCAGGAGCATCAATAAACCCCAGCTGGAACAGAAAAGGTAAATAGCTTGGTTGAATGGCAATTCCCACTCTTTTTGTCATGAAACAAGGCCTTGTGCATTAAGTTCGTCAAATTACCACATGAGGACACTAAAAATGGCAAGGAACGCATAATAGGAAAGACGTGGATTTACTCTGTCCAAAGGGGGGGAAGGCCAGTGATTTGATTGCAGGATGGCTCTATAAAGCATAAACAATCTCTCTTTCTAAAGCTTAAGAAGATCAAGCCCATTTTTAATTCCATGAGTTGAATTGCAAAGTCAAGGAGAAAACAGTGCAACAAAGATAAAACTAAAAACTTACGATCCATGGTCATAAGAACTCAGAATGCCTTTGTGAGGCCAGGGATAGCTTGGACACTCTAAACCATGTTCTGCCTCATCAGCAGACGCAAGCGTCGTGAAGCTCAAAAATCCTGAAACACCTGCCCCGAGCAATGCAAACGCTCTCAATGTGCTTACACCTCCAGCATTAATTTCACTATCCTTTAAGAAAAGCGGGGCGAATGATTTAGAAGCCTGAAAATATAACATATTCATATCACTAAGTCAATATCGATATCAATCCCAATAATGCATTTACCATGCTCATAACCATAGAGAAGATGCATCCTAGTCCAATATTTACTATGCCGCCTGAGATTAAAAAGGGGAAAAATCAGCTTCAATGAGCTTACAGATGAAGATGCAATTAAATGACAGATGAAAACAGACATTCATGGGATCCACAGGAAATGAACTATCCCATTCAGATAGAAGAACGAGTATGGACTTGCCAGTTTCCATGTGACATTCATTCATCAAAAAAGACACATAACTACACATGCTCATGCATCTGCAGCTCTCTCGAGTAAAAAGCAGTAAAAATTACCTTGAAGTGAGACTGAAGTTTTCTCCTCAAAAGCTGGTGAACAAATCCTCCTCCAGCCATTTCAGGTCAGATGAGTTTCCTGCTTGCCTCAAATCCCAAAAGAAAAGCCCAATTTGCAAAATGTAGGAACAAGACAAACAAGCTCAGAATTCAATTCAAATACCAGCAAGTAGCAACACTAAGGGGTCCGAGGAGATAAAAACTTATACATATTGTGCAGTGTAATGAAAGTTCCTCCATTTTCTACGCACTGAAACAAAGAATTAGCGAGAAAAACCAGTGCATCGATGGACCCAGTTCACCCAAAAGGGAAAAAGAAAAAGCCAAGGGACCCATATAAGATTTTCATATACCAGTGAAATTCCACAAATCACTTGTTTAACTCTCACTATATGTATGACCAAATTATAAATAGCTTTGCACCTCTACAGAAGCATTATGAACAATGGACCCGAAGGTCTCTATCATCCAGATTGTAACTCCGCGTAACTCTCTGAATTCGATATCACTGATACATAGTTTGTTAAATTCTTCACATTCCATCGCAATGAAAGAGTATCCAACACATACTAAAGTCTCATGAGTCCAAAGACGTTATTAGCTCTCGCAATGCTCGCAGTCGTGTGGTCATCACGCGAGCACGGACAGGACAGTGTGCATATGGCCCTCTCTCTCTCTCTCTCTCACTGTCTTATCTTGCACAGAACATGAAAACTACAAAGAACACAAAACGGAAGGCCGCACCGAACCAGGCACGCGCACTCGCCGAGCTCGATGCGAAAACCGATCAATACCAGAGCAACAGACGAACCAGCACGAATAAGAGAAACCGGCCAAACACCGAGGCCTCCCCGAAACTCTCTCAGATACCAACAAGCTTCTGCCCGGGACTACTAGCTCAAAGAAGCACCGGAGAGCCGGCGGTCGGCTTCGACGCGCGTTCGCAGAGCCGCTCTCTCCCCGCGCGAGAGCTAACAAATGAACCTCAATCCAAACCATACGCATTCGCCAACAGGCGGATGAATTCCACGGTCATCACGGCACGCGCGGATAGAGATGGAGGATGGCAATTCCGAGTTACACGCGAATCGCCGATGAAAAAACCCCAGCGCAGTTGCCGGAGGAACTGGAATTTGGAAGAGAGGAACTTACGGGATTACGACGCGACGACGGCTGAACGGGAAGCTAAGGCGAGAGATCGGAGACGAAGGAGAAGAAGAAGAGGAGGAGGAACTGAGAATTCAGAACCAGCAATGCCACGACCTCCAGAGAGAGAGAGAGAAACCACACTCCCATTTCCGCGTCGGGAAAGTTTCTGGGCCTACTCGGGCCGGGAGGCCTTCGAATAATGGGCCCAATGGACTCTAGCATGGGCCCTTCGTATCATCAATAAGTTTCTGGGCCTTCGAATAATGGACCCGATGGGCTCTAACATGAGCCCTTCAGATGGTCCGAAAGCTTCTGGGCCTAGTCGGGCCGGGCCTTAGAACAGCAGCAACCTAGGAGCCCCTCCCGATCCGCTACTTCGACCTCCTCCCTCTGTGCGACAACGACACGACATGCTGGCATGGTATGAAAGGCGAGGGGCCGTCGCGCGCTGCCGCCTCCCGGCCTCGTTTCACGTCTCGACCTATTGAGCAGTGTTGTTCGATGAATTGCATGCTTGCATATCTCATATGGCCCCCCAACCCGGATACTGCGCTCCCTGATTATATCATCCAGCGCAATTCCTCATTAGACAAATTTAGTCTAAACCTAGGCATCTCCTAAGCACATAATGCCTCTCCCTTGAAGCCTCCTCCTCACAAAACGAACTTCCCTTCCCCGCCGTCACCATCTCCAGCGATGGTGACCGAAGCCTTTCTTGATCTCACTTCGACAAAACACACGAGCCTTTGCGCGCCCCCCCTCGCACCCAATCCCAAAGGCATATGCCCTTTTCGCCCCCCTTATCCTATAAATGTAACTTTCGCGCTGCACCACTAATCCGGCGAAACTCACGATGAAAAAGCCCCGAGGACACCTTTTTTCCGAACAATCACCGGTCCCACGTGACGATCCGGAGACAAAAAAAAAGTTTTACCAATCCCTCACGATGTTACGTCGTAATCGAGAGAACTGTTGCGTCGTGAATCCCACGAAAAGCGCCGGTAGATAGACTTAACAATATTCAAGTACGAACGACTCATGGTGTCGTACACGGTTGATCAGATAGGACTCATCCCCTCACGGGAGACCCGTAATCTATTCGCCGCAAGGAAAGCAAGTCGTCTTTTCCGTAAACGAAAGCGTAAATCTCCGAATCCCACCTCCCTTCTCCGATCGTCGGCGAGCAATCATTGACAAATCCCATCCAGAAGAAGGGTCAAAAGACCTAGCCACTCCCACCCGAAAGTTCCCTTCCTTGCCCGCACGCCGTCTTTCCTTTCCCGTACACTCCACCCCCTTCCCTTTTTATTCTTCCGTTCCATCGAACGATCCCCCCCACCCTCCTCCTCAGTCAGTCAATTCGTCGATCACCTGTCGATCGACGGCCAGGAAGGAACCGAATTCGCTCCGCCATGGACGCCGCCGCCGCAGCCGACGACGGCCTCCTCGGCTCCCTCCCTCCCCCGCTCCCCATGTTCCTCGCCATGTTCCTCGCCGTCTACCTCGCAGGGCACGCCGCCGTGTTCCGCGGGTGGAGCCGCGAGGCCCGGCCCGAGGCCTCCAGCTGCCTGATCTCCCTCGCCCACGGCACCCCCGCCGTCGCCCTCGCCTCCCTCGCCCTCCTCTCCGACCCGTCCCGCGGCTTCTCGTCCCGCAACACCGGGGCCCAGGACGCCGTCCTCGAGTACAGCATCGCCTACTTCTTGGCCGATCTCTTGCATTACGTCGTGTTCTACCCCGGGGATCTTCTCTTCATCGGCCACCACTTGGCCACTCTCTTCGTCTTCCTCACCTGCAGGTATATCGCCGTTTCGTACTGTCGGCGTCGCGGTAGGAGTTAACTTTCTTGTCCCGTAGTGTTCTGCTGAATTTAGAGCTAGAATTTCACTCGATCGATGCGACAAAGAAAAAAGATTCGATTTTTTTTCTCGTGACTCCAGTTTGGAGTTATTCGTGATGTTGATGCTTTCATGGCGTTGTGTATAAAATTCCAACCTTTCCCGCAGGTACTTGGTCCGCCACGGGGCTTTCGCGATCTTGGTCCTCTTGATCCTTGCGGAGGTCACGAGCGCTTGCCAGAACGCATGGACGTTGGCAGGTGCGCGGAGGAGAGACTCGGCTCTTGCGGCTAAGGTGTTTGATGCTTTGTCTGCACCTTTCTATTCGTTTTATTCTGTCGTCAGGGGGCTTTTAGGTCCGCTCTTTCTGTATAAAATGGGGGCGTTCTATGCGAGTGGCGGGGCTGAAGGTGTGATTCCAAAGTGGGTTTGGGTTTCTTGGCTGGTGGTGGTTTCAATTGCCATTGGTGTTAGCATTCTGTGGGTGTCCAATCTTTGGGTTGAGTTCTTCAGGGAAAGAAGCAGAGGTGGACTGGAGAAAAAGTCGAGATAGTCTTTTCTCTTTGTTCTTCCCGTTGTAATGATAATGTATTTTATGGTACACATCTTAGAGAAGATAAAAGCTCAGGTCATTTATATTCCTCCCCAGATGTCTGAATGAACAGTTTCGGTGATGAATTATGGATCGTTTTCTTCGGGGGTTTGGGTTGAGGCGTTGATCGGGGGGTGTTATAGTCGAAGTGTATCAATTATAGGTTTATTTTAGTGGCAGGATATAAAAGAAATTCACGAATATATCCATAAGCATTTCTCATGCTTCTGCAGTATCAATTCGTGCCTTTCAACTCTGTCTTTATTATTCCGCTTCTGGTGATTGGTTTCATACATTGCACATGTCTGGTTATGTTCGCTTCTTTGCGTTTGTTTTCTTCTTCGTAAGTAATCTCTGGTTTGTGGCCTTCCTGCCAAGCTTATCATACTTGTAAATCGAGATGCTAAAATATGTAAATCTTTGTTTTTCAGCTAGTGAGCTTGATGGGCTGCTTATGAATAGCTGAGCTCTCATTTCATGACTTGTTATAAGTGCAGTGACTTCTAACATTATGCCATTTGGAAGGAGAAAATGAGGACATTTTTTAATTCATGAATGGAGTAGCTCCAACGAAGCTTGAATTCGTATACAACTGTATGGAATGTTGATTCCGTATTGAGTTGACTCGTGCACACGATGCATTTGTCGAATGTTTTGGGCTCGTTTATACTGCTTTCCACGACAACCTGAATAGCCGGAGAGATTACGTGAACCCTTACCCAAGTTCAATGATCCATAAGTCATAATCTCGCTAAAGCTACCCCATACCTTGTAACATTTGGACTAAAAAATTGAACTGACAGGATCAGAGTTGAAGTTATACGATTGCTAGATTGCTAATGCTAGCTTTATGGTTCAGCAGTTTGGTTCTGTTCATGGATTCTAGGATTCGAAATCCAAAATAATTAGGGACATTGGAGATATGTGCTCAAGTATATATAAGTTGACATTATGCATTAGGTCTTTTAGGCGCGCATGATATTGATATTGGTGCGAGTAAAAGATAAAAGGGAGACATCTAATCAGAGTTCTGGCTGCTGCATCCATTTTGACATTATACCAAACAAAGTTCAGAAATGATGAAGTTCCACGGTCCTTTAGAACTGACCGTGGGGCGAGGAAGGTCAGCTATAGCCTGTGTCTAGAAGTGATTCATGTTCACCAGTCAATAGAGAAATTCTGGGAAACTTGTCCAACAAAACTAGATTGGGTAGGACGTGCTGTTCCCAAGGGGAAAATGGTTGGGGTCACGTTGGGTCGATCTTTCTAACATTCGCGGGTTATTGACTGCAATGGCAAGTAACAGTTCACTGTCAAAGACCATTTATCAGACCGACCGTCTGTAGTCGGATATACTCGATGCTGAGTAGGATAAACAATTATAAACCTGGCGTAGCCATTTATTTAATTTATACGACGATTGGAACGAAGCAGCAATATAATCATGTTTAAAGATATGCCGGGCAGGGCGGCTTGCAAATAGACACATAATAAAACATAAAAAGTAACTAGATGTGTGCGAACTGCAAAGACAAGTCTTCAGTTGGAGGAGACTCCATCCTAAGAGTAGAATTTGTAGGTCTTTGCGCTTAATATGATCGACCTTAGCGCTCCGATCGGTGCTAGAATCACCAGGAGGACACCCAGTATGATGCATATCTGAAATTTCACGAGTAAATTCTTTTAGAATGCTCTTGTGGTGACTATTTGCCCTGGGAAAACAAAACAAACCCAATATGATAACTCACACAGTTGGCGAACCAGGACATACTAAACCTTCTGGGCTTGTAGATAGCCAGCCACATGACGCACGGTAGCTGAACAAAATTGGACACAAAGTCAGAGAGGCCTGAACCAACTCCATGAGCATATAAACCAATTTATTCGTGGGGGTTGGTGTTCTTGACTTGAACCGATGAGACTTACGAAATATGTTGTCGGGGCGAAAGCAAACCCTCCGAAGAATCCCAGGAGACCTCCGAAGAAAGGGAAGGTGATGGCCACAAACATGGTGAAAGCTGAGATCGAAACGAGTACAGCTAAGTTTTAACAGAAGATTATGTGCAAATGTTTCCGAGCGGAAGCCAGCTTTGATCGATGAAGCTCTTTCCATGGGTGATTATCGAGTGAGAAAACTCACCCACGTATAGATTGCGTGATACGAAACGAAGCATTGTTGAGGGCTTGAAATGGAGTTTCTTCACCAGGACAGTCTCTATCATGTCAAACACTGGCATTGCATAGAGCTGCATTCGACATGATTAAAACATTGCACAGTGAAAAAATTTGTGTATGAACCTGAGTAACCCTCTAGTTCAGTCGGCTATTCCATCATCCAAAAGAAGATTGCTTTTTTTCTTTTTTGTATGTGCAAAACCACTCTTCAGTCATTTTCTGTAAGAAGCATGTCTTGGTTCTCAAATTTCACATCATCGCTGAACGAGGACGTACATGTAGTGTTAAGAATTAGACCAGGGCACTTGCCTATCGGAGAAGAGCAAGTCACAACATACTGTCTAAATCAATTGCCACTCTTTCTAACTCTTTGCACGATGCAATTAAACAAATATAGTTTGCGCAGGAGATTGTACCTGGTAGCTACCAATGACGTGGATGACGACGAATGCATTGGCCATGATGATCAACCACGTTGGCTTTTCGAGCGAAATGAGAATATTGTCCTCGACCTTATTCCCATACACCCAGTACCCGACCAGTGCAACAGGAAAGTAACACATTGCCACGACAATGTAGGCGAACACCACTCCTCTCCACATTGGGCCCTTGGACGGCTTCGCCGGGGTCGAAGGGATGGTGGCTTGGATCTCCAACACCACATTGTGGCCCGCGTATGCAAATGCAACATCGCCTAGGGCACTGAGGAAGTTGAATACTTTTGCGGGGGTGGTGGAGGCTCGAGAGCCGTATTCAACGTTCTTTTCGATGCCCTTGTGGACGGAGGCCGCCCAAGCAATAGTAGAGTAGCTGCAAGGACAACATCCAGCTGATGTGCATACACTAAAGCTTATAAATAATTTGAAGTTCTCTTTCTTTTGAGCTAGACTTTAAGACTGAGTCATGTTCTTCCAACTTTCAACATCAATTCCGACAGCTTTGCACTTCTGGGAGACAGAAGTGGTTCTATGAAGTGGGGATCGAACAAAAGACGTTGATACCTTAAGGACATGACGGCTGCTGCCAAAGAAACCATGGATATGGCGTTAAAATTTGGGAGATGAGCGAGAACAAAATGACATGAAGCGAAGATCATGATGAAATATGTAGTCTTGAGAGGTTTGCCATTCGGTTGGGCCAAGTTGTAAATCTTCTGCAGCGATTTCCCTCCGGTGACCATGTACACAATGTCGACACCAACCTCGACAACCAGCTGCTGAGGGACCACGATATAGAGGCCGAGCTTCTCGCCAAACGCGTACTGACCAAGCTCGTGGTACCTGTCAAACCGCTTCCCGGGGACCATCTCGTGCATCTCCACCATTTGCCACAGGGTGTACAGCGTGATGACCCATGAAAGTACCAATATTACCACACCAGGACCCCTGAGCGTGATAGGAGTCAAAAAGATTATTCTGTGCTAAGTTGCGGAAACTACTTTATACATGGTTGAAGGAAAGATTTCGACATTCATCTCAGTTAAGGATGTTATCTTGATTTGAGCCTGTAATCTAATCTTCTTGTATGACTTGGTCCGGCCCTGTATTTCAAAATATTAGGTTCGATTTCAGAGTTCGTTACCATCCAAGCGCTGACATAGCATAAGGGAGACTGAGGACACCAGCTCCAACCATGGCAGTGACATTATGAAAGGTCGAGTACCACCATTTCGCATTCCTGGAAGACGTGATTGGAAGCCAATTGTCGATTTCCTTCTGCTTCTGTTTGTCGACCTGTTTCGAATCAAACCACGTGAAATCTTCGCCGTTAATCACGAAAGCAAGCGACGGTTCCTTCTACAGATATGACGGTCTCGACCGGAGCACTCATCACTAGGACTATATAAATCAGCAGCCGACTTACATCGCCGTCGCTGCCCTGACTCCCCATCGGAACGACACGAATCGCTGGCAGAACTTCACCGGAGGAGGATGAGGAAAATAAAGCACTGAGATAAACAGATGAAGGAGGGTTATGTATGCCCAATGGGTTGTTCTATCCTAGGAAGCCCAGTCGATGAATTATACGAGTATGGAAATAAAACTCCAACCCAATGACTTGGTTTGGACGGATTTCCATTTGAGGGCGACACATCTGTTTGATACAGCTGGTGGCCACGATTCTGATGCAAATGAGAGGAACCCTCTTTACTGTCATCCTAGTTTTAGAAGATTGATGCAGATTTGATGCCATCCATGGTGATCTGCAGTAATTGGGGTCGATTTTTAAGGATGCTTGATTCTTGTGCCCCTGACTCATTTGACTCCATGACGTAGAATAAGGCAAGCAAAATCGCTGATGGCCTTGTGCTTTTGGCAAGTTTGCTTTTGCAAGCTGCATTGGAGATCCCCCAATTTGACCATTTCAATTTCCCAAATGGGAATCAAGCCTTTTAAAGACCAAACAGGGCAGTAGAATGATAAGGACTCGTCGACTGTGAAAATTCCCCGATCGTCTGACCCCTGTCGGTTTCGCTGAGGGAAGCATTAGGAAAGAAATTCACCAGTTGGAGCCTTGGAGGCTCTATTGTCTGAGAACATGCTTGACGCCCTTACCCTCACATGACAGTTGGTCACACGTGAGTACTTTAGTATAACATAGTTTCTGTGTACATTTAGGAAACTGAATCGCTACACTTAGTCGCACACGCAGTCTTTGATTTTCTTTCTTTGCGAGTTCTGTTCTATTTTGGATTAATTATCGCATTGTATTCTCGACTGATTCCGCTAATGTACGTGTTGAGTTTTTCCTTTGTATCGATGCGTGACCTATGGAGTCGGTTCATTTGGTTAAAATGCTGGTGTCCGTTTTCAGTTCACCTAATGACACATTATTAAGTATGCAACCACTGCATTCTTCACCATTCGGAAACTCCAGCCATGTTAAGCGAGATCAACCGCGCGACCCTTCATATGGCCCTCGACTCTTCGGGAAAGCATCGGTCTTACAAAGTGTATTGGTTGTGTAACTTCGCGGCAGAAGTGCTGATTTTTGGTCACCGTATGGACTCATTGAACTGAATGAAGAATAATTAAAGCCAGAGTCTTTTTTATCGATTCTCAAGAAGAATTACACAGCAAGAGAAGATATATGCACACAGGAAAGGAAGAAAAGAAGCATAGAGGAGTTGGGTTTGAGTGTGTTCTCTTTCCCTAGTTCCCTGGTCACAAATTTAACCATCACAGACAAACAATGTACTTTATACTCCATGAATAACCTACCAGACTCGATCAACGATCGCCAGACGTATTCCTGCTTGAATATTTAGTCTTGCCCCCCATGGGCCATGATCTGTCTTGACGAGCACTCGAAATTTGAATCAGTCTGCATCACAGACGAACCCGATTCGCTTCCATGCGAGTCTAAGAATAGAATTTGTATGTCTTGGCCTGGATGATGATTTGCCGGAGTCCTCCGATGGGTGATAAGATCATCAAGAAAAGCCCAAAGATGATGCATACCTGGAATAAGCAAAACCCATATCAGATGAACTGAATAACGAACACGAGGCTTGATCGAGGATGAGTTACCATAGAAGGAGAACGAGTTTAACATACCCAGTTTGACCACCAGGATAAGCTAAACTTCCTCGGCTTGTAGATCGCGAGCCACATTATGCAAGGAAGCTGAAAAAAACAGGAGAAGGGGCAAGACATTAGGATTTCGTCTGAACCAGAAAGTTCCTCCAAGCATTTCGATAAGCCAACTTTTACAAAGGCCAATCCAAATCATTATATTAGCAGGAGCTTGCTTACAAAGTATGTCGTCGGGGCAAAAGCGAATCCTCCGAAAAACGAAAGAAGGCCGCCGAAGAATGGGAAAGTGATGGCTATGAACATTGTGAATGCTGCCATGACAATCGGACATCAATAACATTGACAAAAAGGAAAGACAGGAAAAGCAGGGACGGGACTTCAAACATTGCGAACTAGACCAGAATATACGAGCAAGCAACAACAGAAGGGGCATCATACTTACCAACATAGACAGTGCGAGCCACAAAACGAAGCGTTCCAGTTGGCTTGAAGTGCAATTTTTTCACTAATACAGTCTCTATCATGTCAAACACCGGCATCGCGTAAATCTGCATCAAGACCACGAAAAGATCAATTCACCGTCGCCACAAAGAACTTTGAAAGACACAAAAGAAGGAGCTTGTACATTACCTGGTAACTTCCAATAACATGGATGACGACAAACATGTTTGCCATTGCAATGAGCCACTTCGGTTTCTCCAGGGAGATGAGGATATTGTCCTTGACCGTGTTCCCAAATACATAATAACCGATTAGAGCGACTGGGAAGTAGCAGAGAGCCACGACAATGTAGGCGACAATGACTCCTCTCCACATCGGGCCCTTGGACGGCTTCTCAGGAGTGGAGGGGATAGTCGCCTGAATCTCCAGGACCACATTGTGCCCTGCATACGCGAAAGCCACATCGCCCAGGGCGCTGAAGAAGTCGAAGACCTTCCCTGGCGTGGTCGAGGCCCTGGGGCTGTACTGCACGTGCGGCTGAACGCCCTTGTCTACGGAGGCTCCCCAAGCTATGGTTGAGTAACTGAAAAATGAAGATATGAAATGTCATCCCGAATAATGTGTGGAGTTTGACTTTAATTGTATCGATTATGAGGAAGCGAATTCAGAGAGTCTAGAATAGAGTATTACCTCAGAGACATAACGGCTGCAGCGAGGGAGACGCCGGAGATGGAGTTGAAGTTGGGGAGGTGGGAGAGGACAAAGTGGACAGAGGCAAAGATCATGATGAAGTAGGTGGTCTTTATCTTCTTGCAGCCCGAGCCCGAGCCCGAGCCCGAGCCCGAGCCCGAGCACACGGTGTCGTGGAACTTCTCCAGCGACTTCCCTCCTGTGACCATGTACACGATGTTGACACCGACCTCGACAATCAGCTGCTGAGGGACCACGATATAGAGTCCGAGCTTCTCGCCGAACGCGTACTGCCCGAGCTCATGGTACCGATCGAACCTCCTCCCGGGGACCATCTCGTGCATCTCGACCATTTGCCACAGCGTGTACAGGGTGATGACCCATGACAGGACTAGCACGGCTACACCAGGACCCCTAGAAAAAATCAAAGAAACACACAAAGCAGCCAAGTTACATAAGACAGGACGACTCATAAGTTCAACCTGCAAACCGATGGCTACTACACTGCAACTTGGGATTGATTCGGTAACCGGTAGGCAAACTTATTCATCAAATTTGCACAAAACGCTAGTTGCACTAAAACTAGGCACAGGGAAAGAAAGAGATGGTAGACTCAGGACAGCTCAACTGGCTAGAGGAGAAATATAACTAAGGACTAGATTGATTCAAGACCAACTTCTTCCACATTGTCATAGATTCGAAATTTGGCATACCATCCGAGTTCGGACATGGCGTAGGGGAGGCTGAGGACGCCGGCTCCGACCATGGCCGTGACATTGTGGAAGGCCGAGTACCACCATTTCGCGGTCCTCGCAGAGGTGATGGGAAGCCAGTCGTCGATTTCCTTCTGCTTCGCTAGTTTCTCCTCAATCTGTGTGATTGATCATGAAGCATTTGTTTAGCTTTAGATCTAGCTTAGGATAAAAAAAATCGCTCTGTCTGATTTGCATTTACCTAAAACTAGAATTTTTTTTTTTAAACCTAAAACTAGAATGACTAAACAAGAATGTAGCAGCATTTTGCTCCCAAAGTAACAATCAGCTATTTGCAAACGAGCCCGCCAATCGTAGCATTTAACCCTATCCTAAATTCGACATCGTGCATATCGAAATATCCTACTTCCCTTGACAATGGAGTTTATACACTTTTTATATACATATGATCTTCCTTAATTAACCCATTAGCTTAAGCTTTTGGGTTGGACTTTCTTATATGGTATCAAAGGTTCTATCCTTTTAGCTTTCTTAATCCAGTTTTCACGCCTCTTGACTATGGGGTTATATGCATTTTCATATACATGTAATCTTTCTTCACCTATGGATTTAAGCATTTTAATTGGATTTTCAAACAGTGGGATGGTTATGTCGACATGTCATGATTTACACCACATGATGTTAGCGGGATAAATTGTCCGAAAAGTCCTAAACCCATTGTACGGCGGCCAGCTCCGTCCTAAACTCTTCAATTTTGCCAATTCAGTCTTAAATCTTATAACGATTTGCCAATTTTAGTCATAAGTCTTTCGACAATTTGACAATGTAGCCATTCTAGCCGATTTTGGTCGGAAATCGCCGACGTGGCGGTCCACGTTAACGCTGGTCAGCCGTACCACATAGAACGGTCAACGACTACGTCAACGATTTCTAACTAAAATTGATCGGAAAGACTATATTGATAAATCACCAAAAATTTTAAAACTAAATTGACAAAATCAAAATGTTCAAAACTGAATCGGACGTCGTACGAAAGATTTCATGGATTTTTAGACGGTGCCAAAAATAATCAATCGCCGTGGTCATGACTATGAAGTCACATAATCAGAGCAAGATGCAAGACCTGCCTTTGAAAATGACATCCATTCTCTTTTTTAAAACGATTCATTGAATTTGAACATTTTTCCGTTACTAGCTAATTTAAAAAAATCGCAAATCTGACGATGGATCATATCGGTTAACGTGCGCCGAAGAAAGAGATCGAATATTCAAAAATATATATATAAAGAAAATTATCAACTATATATATATATTATTTTATTTTTTGGTCGAAACTATATTTCAAATGTCGATTGGGTTATGACAACTAAGCCACGTGGAAGAGTGAACCTTACATCCATCTCTCATTAATATATATATAAGCTAAATTCCCTAATCATCGGGGAAGTACTTAAAATTAAAAATTAATAAAAAAACCCGAACGAGCTTGATTTTAAAGACATGCAATGCAATTCGTCGTGTCAAAAGGGGCAATTCGTCGCTTACTTTGATGTAATGAATTTTCGATCCATCATTTGAAAATTTTCGTTCAAGTATCGTAACTTTTGGATTAAAAAAAAAAGACTTTCACTCTAACGACACGACGAATTACATTGTAAATTATGGCACTCAAGTAAGCAAGCGTTATACGAAAATTATAATAATTATAGTGTCCTTTTCAAAACCACTATTGCCTTTGAAACGGTGATCGTTTTTTAACCAACCACGAAGGTACTGACATCATTCGAAGAGTACATAGTACCAATAATACAAGAGCTACGCGCCATAGCCCGAGAGGACGAGGATGCTTCTGGTCCCCGACGGCTTCGCTTTTGGATTTTTGCATTGATACCATCGCTCCTTGATTTAGAAAACTTTGATAAGGTTCATGGTTTTAAACAGTTCATTTAGTACTTAAAAAAAATAAGAATAGAAAGCACTTCAAACAGTTTGAACTGTATTTAGAATTTTCGACAAAATAGCAAATATTTAGTTTTCGCTTGGTCTTTATGTAACTATGAATTAGTATCATAAAGAGGTGCACCCATCGAAAAGTTGACACATAACTTTATGGATGAATTATGTAAATCGATTTTAGTACCCTTAACGTTATGGCAAAATTCGAAAGGGTGCCCCTCGTATGCCTTTCCCTCCTTACACGCCACGCGCTAATCGCGGGACGCGAAATAAAAATAAATAACTATAATCACGAAAATGGTAATTTTTTGTCGATAAACATTACAAGAATAGGATTAGCCTATAGATTTTGAGGTCGAAAATGAGAACAGAGGACATGGCGGCACCACGTACCCCGTTCTGCACCTTCTTCACCATCTCAGAAGCAGAGCATCGATTTGCCCTGAACTGTGACTTTCCATCTTACACAGAGAGAGAGAGAGGTGAGGAGAGAGGGGACTCACGGAGTGGCGGTAGCCGGACTTCTCATCGGGCAGGCCTTGCGTTCCCATGGCGGCTTCCGCTACAATCGGCGGCGGCGGCGGCGACGCGGCTAAACGGTTCGCACCCTTTAAGCGACGCGAAACTCAGCTCTAGCTCTAGCGCAGAGAGAGAAACAGAGGGAAACAGAGAGTGGGAGCATTGCTGCTTACATGGGTACTCTGTCCTGCGTATTTAAAGGGGGGAGGAAGAAGAAGGAACCAGCCGGATGCTGATAACTTACCCACTCCATCACATTCACACATTAACGTTACACACAACGTACACAGAGAGAGAGAGAGAGAGAGAGAGAGAATTGAAGGAGACGTCTTGTGGTTTGACTTTCGGGAGTCATCCTCGATGTGGCCCATTTGCTTCCTAAGCTGGATCCATGGGGAAGATTCCAGGAAAACGGATCTGCCCGCCCGCAATCTGCACGTCGACCCGATTAATTTAATTTTGCTTATATATTCGTTCCTGCATAAAACGATTTGGGGTGATGAGTGAATGACCATGATTGGATATCGAAGACATCGTAGCTTCCTGTTTTGTACAGAGAGGACGGATTTGCCATGAGCATTTTCGAATATGTTATGCGAGTCCGGCGGATTCGGCTATAGGTTTTCTGTGATGGGGATCCGATTAAAGAAATAAAATCTTGGCGACGTCTTGATCCCGTCCGGCCTCCAGATTCCCGGATCTCCCACCCCGTTCGCATCGCCGTGATGCCCGAAAACAAGGGATTGTCGAGTGTCTTCGAGTGAAACATGGACGGCGAGCAGGGATTTTAGCACTGAGTTGGCATTCGAATAGACCATGCGATTTAGGGGGGGCAAGTATGGTTGTGATTTGCTCGCATTGCATGGTTTGGCCTCATTTGGTTAGTATCGATTTTTAGGCGGTTTTCTTGACGAGATAGACGTAGGAAGTTAAGAAATGGATTTCGTACCGAAAAATTACCCAAATGGTCCGAACATATTGTGCGAATGCCAGTTCAATTCTAAACTTTTTAATTTTGTCAATTTAGTCCTAAACCTTTGCGTGAAATTACAATGCAGTTATTCCGGCTAATTCTTGTCGGAAATTACTAACATAGCGGTCCAATCATTACCGATCATCGAAACTGACAATATTGAAAAGTTTGAAACCAAATTAACATTCATGCAATAGGTTTAGAACTAATGCGTACATGGAACTCCCTTTGTCTGCAATTGGTTGTGCATCATATGTACTCAATCCATGTAGGTGTAATTAAGTCAGACCGACTTAATGCAATGGATTATAATCATGAATTAATCTTGTGCAATTACTCTACGGCTTACAAAATAGAGTTTTTATTTATCAAATCCATGGCAAATCCAATGGAATGACAAACGGAGAGAGATAACGCATCTTTCGCTCCAATTAATAGCTCGGTTGACATTACTAGCCCCAAAGTCAATTGGATTCTCACGAATGTCGAGTTAATTAAACGCCTACTCTTGGATGTGGCAAATTCTACGTTCGAAACAAAAGGGTTCTCTCATTCGATGTAATCTTGGCGGCACGCATGTCGCCTCGTGGGTAAGAGAGTCTTAGCAGATCGATATGCACAAAAGGAACGATTTGTGAAATTAGTCGAGCCAATTCATAGAAAATGTTAAGATATTCCATTGTTTTCACTCGCAAAAGATAATTGGAATCTGATGGAATCCATGGTTGCAAGGAATATTCATAGTTTAGGGTAATCAAACGCGGCATTTTTAGGGAACTGATAGTTGGAAAATTAGCTGTTTTTGTACTCTTCTTAGTTCATTATTTGCTGCTTAAGTATTGGTTGGTCCCAAGAAAAAAAGGGTCGTGTTGGAAAAAAAAAGATAAAAAAAATACTAATTTTGTCAATTTCATTTTTTCAATTTTCAATGCCTCTTTTTAACTTGGAAAAAGCAATATTTTTTGGGAAGGTCGTCGATCATGCATGCCCATTCCCCTTGTTGCTGCTACTACTAGTACTATTATTATTATTATTAATTAACCAACCCACAGTTTTCATATGATAAGATTGAATTATCACTGCACATGCTTATCGAATAAATCACCACAACATTCCACGTGATTCATTCAACCTTTGAACTTTCTCTATTGCTTTCTTCAATTGAAAGCACGAGAATTTTCCTTCTTTTTTTTTTGTCTACATTTAAAGGCATAAATTGCTTACTCGATTGCATAATGCAGTTACTTAGTTCGCGCGTTGCGTGGAAGTATGTAAAGCCATCTCGTTGTCTTATCATGAAAGCACCACAGATTAACAATAAGATATCCCGAATCTTGGAATTAAAACAAAAGGGGCGGAGGGTTCTCCCAAATATCTAAGAACTCGGAATAAAAAAAAAATATTTCGCTCGATTTTAAATAAGGAGTAATGATTAGATTTAATTAAAGTTTGATTATGAATGCAAATGAATTTGACATATTGACCTTTCCGTTCGGCTTTGTCCTCTTTGTTTTGGACGTGATCAATAGATACATAAATCTCCTTTTCAAGACTTGATATGTATCTTTTCAGTCCTATTTGTCTGTGTTTTCTTAAAAAGCAGAGGCCTAATTCCCAAAAAAATCCCAAACTTTACACTTTGTCCCAATTATACCCTGACCTTTTTTTTTGTCTCAAGAAAAACCTCAAACTTTTATCCGAGTCCCAAATCTGCCCTACCGTTATAACTCTGTCCAATTAACGTCAAAAAAAAAAAAAAGAACCAAGAATGCGGTGTGGCCAAGCCTTCGCGGTGGCCGCCGCCCTGCCGGGGAAGGAGCGGCGGCCCTCGCTGCCGGCGGCCCTCGGCCGGCGCTCGGCGGCCGGCCGTCTAGGGCGAGGGTCGCGTCCCCGACGGGAGCCGCAAGCCCTCGCGGCGACTCGCCCGGGCGGCGAGGCGGGGGAAAGCCCGGCGAGGCCGCCGACCCCGTGCGAGGCCTCGCCCGGGTCGCCCACCCTAGGCGAGGCTACCCTCCCCAGATCGGGGCCGCAGCCTCGCCGGCGACTAACCCGAGGCCGGCGAGGGTCGCCGCCTCGAGAAAGCCCGGGCGAGGGCCGCGCCTGTGCGAGGCCTCGCCCGGGGTCGCCCACCTTGGGCGAGGCCACCCTCCCCCGGACGGGGCCGCAGCCCTCGCCGGCGACTCGCCGGGCGGCGAGGGTCGCCGGCCTAGGAAGGCCGGGCGAGGCCTCGCCCTCGGGGTCGCCCACCCCGGGTGAGGCCTTGCCGGGGTCCTGCGGCCCTCGCGGGCCTCCCGGGCTGGCGGCGACCCTCGCCGGCCCGGGAGAGTCGCGGCGAGGCCCGCAGCCCCGATCCGGGGCGAGGGTCGCGCCCTCCCCGCATTGGGGCCGCAGCCCCGCGGCTGACTCGCCGCCCGGGCCGGCGAGGCTGCCGACCTTCGGGAAGGCCCCGAAGGCGAGGGCCGCCGCTCTTCCCCGGCGGTAGGCCCGCCACCGCGAAGGCTTGGCCACGCGGCACCGCCGGGTTCTGTTTTTTTTTTTTTTTTTTTTTGGACGTTAATTGGACGGAGTTATAACGGTAGGGCAGATTTGGGACTTGGATAAAAGTTTGAGGTTTTTCTTGAGACAAAAAAAAGTTCAGGGTATAATTGGGACAAAGTGTAAAGTTTGGGGTTTTTTTGGGAATTAGGCCAGAAAGCAACTTCTTTGTTTTTCGCGCAATAATTTACAGTATTATCAAAATTTCAAAAAAAAAATAATAATTATACATCAACCTAAGCATATATATTTATGTAACTTTCGTCTCGGGTTAAAAAGAAAGTTGAAATACGTCCCGCCATAAGATTTATGCGTATGGACCCACCATCACCGTCTTTGAAGTTTGAAAACGGACAAGGATGAGTGGAGCAATTTGATTATTCAAAAGGCATTGTACATTGAATGCGATGGTTTGACTTTTCAAAATGGATTCGATTTGGAAACGATAAGCTTGGGGTTTCGGAAGCTCGCTTTGGCACGAAGAATCTCCATAATTTCACATTCAAGTTGCTTCTTTCCTCCACTTAGATTATAATTCTAACATAAAAGGCGGTCTGAAGTCTATTATTATTTATTATTACATTTGGACTATGTTCTTCGTCCTATTGGGAAATGGAAGTGTCGGGGAATGAGCCGGAAATGAGGGTCAACTCATGAAATAGCCGCGCTCCACCTACGTCTCTTCCTCATTCGTTCCTTCCTCATCCTCGCCAACGACTTTCTCAATCACTTACTATGACTAGGCACCGATTTGCCATTCCTATGATAAAAAAGCGCCAACCCTGTTGTTCGAAATCGCCACGACCCTTGACCACCGAATCTTCTCTCTCCCCCTCTCGACCCATCACGGCCACAAACCACGGGTCGTCATCGGGCATAGCTAACTCTGGCCACCGTCGATGGCCCCGAATGGCTTTGGACAAAGTTGTCGGCCCGACGGGATTGTCGTTATCGAAGGAAAAAGAAAAAGAAAAATAAAAAATTGAGATGAGCGGGCACGGACAGGGCACTCCTGTCAAAGGCTAGTTTTGGGTTTTGGCCCGTTTAAATCTATCGTACACCCGTCAAACGGATGTGATTAGATTGGATCAAGTTTGGGTCGAGTTGAAAACGATGTGACCCAAATATTCATTTTATATCCAATGTTAAACTCAGCGATCCAACCCAAATCCGAATCGATCCGACCCAGAATCCATTTGTAGCAACTTTTCTCCTTAAATTTTTGCCTTTGAAGAATGGGCTACTCCATGTACTAGCTCGTCAAATTAGTGAAGGAGCTCAAGGGTCGGGTTGTAAACGGGGCTGTGAAGGTGGTGGCAAAATTTTGGGTTTCCTTATAAGTACAATTTGTCACAGTAGTGTGCATTCGCCGAGCCAAAGGTCGAAGAAAATCAAAAGATGACAGAAGCAGAGTCGACGAATGGAGAATGGAAATTTGTCCGGATACAATCCGTCTTGTCAATTCGAAGGTCCAATTTGTCAACAACCCCGTGGAATTGGGAACACCAAAAAGGTCCGACGACTTGGACGAACGGGAAACGGCGGTCAACGCCCCCTGTTTGGTATCGCATGCAATGCGCGCTCTTTTAGGCCCCACATGCTTTTTTCCATAACCTTTGACAACTTTTGAAGTTTTTTGTCATGAACTCAAACACAACTCTCAAGTTGATCCTTCTCGTTTCCTTCGCGTAGGCCAGTG